GATGCAGGAAGGGATGGAGATGCCGTGCTCCACCCCAGTGGACACCACAGCCTCTGCCCGGGGCACAGTGGGATCCAGCCTGGCCATAGTTCTCCAACCCCCCAGCCCCTAACGAAGGCTCAGCAGTCACTAATTGCTTGGGACACCCCTCGGGGTGCGGGGGGAGACTGAATGTTCCTCCCCCGGCAGCTCTGCTGGCCATGGTTCCAATTAGCCTCGTTATCCTGCGTCGCTGCTGATTAGGGGCCGGGTAATTGCCCGGCGTTTGGTGTCCCTTAGAGCCACATGGCAGCAGCTATTGCATAAGCACTGGGCAGGCGTTACGTGAGCCGTGAGCGAGTCAGGCCAGCCCAGGGGCTCCGGTTACACCTGGCCCTGCTGCCCCCTGCTCCCGGCCTCGGGCGGTGACAGGGACAGCCCCGCACGGACTGCAGGACTCAGGGGTGCTGCCTCAGTTTCCCCCCTTGCCATGCTCTGCTTTGCACTCGCAGTGTGTCTGAATGACACCCACCCTGTACCCACAGCCCCACGGCCCCACAGCCCCATGCCATGGCCCCTGAACGCCATAGCCCCACAGCCCCACACCACAGTCCTATTCCATGGCCCCACAGCCCCACACCACAGTCCCATTCCATGGCCCCACAGCCCCACACCACAGTCCCATTCCATGGCCCCACAGCCCCACACCACCACCCCATGACCCCACGGACCCACACCACAGTCCCATTCCATGGCCCCACAGCCCCACACCACAGTCCCATTCCATGGCCCCACAGCCCCACACCACAGTCCCATTCCATGGCCCCACAGCCCCACACCACAGTCCCATTCCTTGGTCCCACAGCCCCACACCACCACCCCATGACCCCACGGCCCCACACCACAGCCATTTTCCATGGCCCCATTACCCCATGGCCCCACAGCCCCACACCACAGGCCATGCCCGTGCCAAGCTTTGCATAAGCAGCAGCGAGGTGCAGTGACTCACAGCACTGCAGCGCGGCCACGTGCCCAGTACCATGCCTGATCCCACTGGCTGCCAGGACTGGCACAGCTGGCAAAGCCACATCTCGTCCCCGTGGTCTGAGGGCACTGCCCTGTTTGCTTTGGCACAGCTGAGGGACCCTCAACCTGCACCACCGAGGCACTTCAGCAGCAGGGTGGGGAAGAAGGGTGGCACTGGCACCGTGGAGAGGACAAAGCAGTGGGACCCAGCCCCTGAGGGGGGTACCCCCTTGCATCACCCCCACAGCTGGGGGACACCATAAGGCTCAGTGGCTGCAAGTGCTGCAGTTCTCCTGCAGCTCCCCCGGCCCCCACTGCTGCCCTCGCCCCCAGCCTGATATGGGGGACATGGCTGGGCCCTCGTCCAGCTCAGGGATTGAGAGACAGGACCCTCATCCAGCCCTGGGGCTGGGGGACAGGACCCTCATCCAGCCATGGGGCTGGGGGACAGGACCCTCATCCAGCCATGGGATTGAGGGACAGGACCCTCATCCAGCCCAGGCACTGGGGGACAGGACTCTGCCCAGTCCTGGGGCTGGGGGCTGCCGTGGGGCACATCCCCCACCTGAGGATGACATGTAGGGACACCAGTGCTGTGGCCCCTGTCAGTGGGTTCACCCCGTGACCCACTCCCTGCCGGGCAGGTCAGCCATTCCAGATGGGAAACTGAGTCACGGCAGGTGCCTGGCAGTGCCCCTGGCAGTGCCCCTGGCAGGGAGCCCACGGCAGGGACACCGCGGGTCCGGCTGGCCCAGCCCGGGGCTCGCACAGCTCAGGGCTGCTGGCCCAGCCCTGGCGGTGGTCCCCGAGCTGGGCGAGGGGCTCTGGGTGAGGGGCTCTGGGTGTGGGACGGGCGATGCTGGCAGAAGGTTCCCCTCTCGCAGGGCGGGGCCCGAGGGAGAGCAAACAGTGATTAAGGCGCGATGGTGTCATCCGGAATTCCTGCTCACCTCCGGGCCAGCCGGGGGCCGGCTGGGCTGATCCTGGTGGCACAGCCGTGCCAACCGTGGCCACTTCAGTGCTGCCACAGGCTGGCATGGCCCCACCGTCTGCCCTGGCCCTGATCACAAAGATTTGGCAGCGAGGCTGGGGCAGGAGGAGAAGTGCTGGATGGTGGCAAGTGTCAGGTTTTGGGTCCTTAATCCCCTCCTGATGGCCATTTCCTTCCTTTGCCACTGATGCCACCTGGGCTGGGCTGGATCCAGCCCCGCTGGACCTGTCCCCCAGCATTGTCCCGGTGGGTGCAGCTCCTGGCACAGAGTCTGGGCCTGGCACCACGCAGGAACCAAAGGCAGCTCTGGCCCTCCAGCCCCACTGTTCCCATCACCAGGAGCAGCACCAGGAGATGCTGGGGTGAGGGTCTCTGCACCAAGCAGCTGAAGGGAGCTGCACCAGCTCCTGTCACTGCGTGGGGAGGGGGAGAGGGGGTTTAGGGGACATACTGTGACCTCCACTGCTGCCACAGCTGAAACAGCTCTGGTCAAGGCCGCTTCTCTCGTAAGAACAAATGTTACTCCAGGGGCTCAGCCAGCAGTGAGCTGGATCCACCTCCCTCTGGCTTTCCTGGGACCAGGACCCCAATTTAAACCCAGCCAGGTCCATGGGGTGAGACCCCATCACGAGGAAAAGGGATCCTGCTCTGGTAGAGCCTCTCCACCTCCACCCTTGTGGCCCTAAAACCGTGGGGCTGAATCCCAGATCTGCAGCACCCAGCACATGCTCAGGTAATCCTGCAGCATCTCCTTCTCCCCTGGGCCTTTCCCCGGGCCGATCCCGAACCTGTCGGTGCCAGAGCAGACGCAGCACACGAAGGGTTAAAGGGCCGGCGGCGGGAGCGGGTGCGTGGATGGCTGCGTGGGTCCCGCGTTGCTCACGGCAGGTGTGGTGCCGCTTATGTAACCTCATACTTTTGGGTTGCGCTGAGCACTCGGGGAGTATTTTCGCTCTCGCTCTGGCGCGATTCAGCCGCGACTGTCCCAACAGCCGCAATCGGCGACCGCCTTTTGGGAGGGGCGAGTCCCCGGGGCCGGACCCTGCGTGCCACGAGGAGTCACTGCGCTGCTCCCGCTCTCAGTTTCCCCATCTGAAATGGGGCTAATGAGGGTGACCTGCTTCGGGCAGCTCCCGTGACCCCGGGGGACGGCGGCCGGGGCCGCTCGGGATGCGCGCCGGGGTGGGAGCTCTGCCTCCATCCGGGGCCGCGCTCGCAGGAGCCGCGCTGGAAGCAGAGCCTGCGAAGAGCGAGGCGAGACGTCGCCCCTCGTCCCGTCTGCGTGCCCATCCATGCGGAGCAGGCAGGAAAGCCGGGAGGAAGGAGCGAATCCGGCCGGCGAGAGCAGCGAACCCGTTCCCAATCGCCATCAGCAAAATCATGTCAGACAGCAGCACTGGAGCGCGCTCGGCCCCTCCGCCCCCGGCCCCGGCCCCCTCCCCGCCGCAGCCGCTCCCGCGCCGGAGCAGAGCCGGGCAGGGGTGGGAGCACACAAAGTGCCACCACCGCTCAGCCCCAGCGTCCCTCGGCCACTGCCACCTGCCTGTGCCCGAGCAGTGGGACAGCTCCAGGAACATCAGGGGAACCCCTCTGCCAGCGGCTCATCGGCAGCTCTGCAGCCCCAGCTCAGCCCAGCGTTTGGGATGGATGTGAGCTGAAATTTCTCCCTTCAGCTGCCATTAAAATTGTTTGATTGAGCGCTGAGAGGCTGAGGTGTCCCCTCAGGGCCCAGCTGCGAGGGCAGGAGGCCATCCAGGGAGGAGGCAGTGTTGCCATGTGCAATGATGGTGATGGTGGCTGCATCTGTGCCTCTGGTGGATGTTGTGTCCACGTCCATGGCTGATGTGGCTGTGCCATGTTTGTGACCATGACTGGATGCCATGCTCATGGCAGATGCCACACTCATGCTGGTGGCAGATGCCACATCCATGCCTGTGGTGATGCCAGGTCCACGGCCATGGTGGATGCCAGATCCGTGTCTGCAGTGGGAGCAGTTCTCATGCCTATGGCAGATGCCTTCTCCACACACATCAGGTCTCCAGGCCAGTGCCAGTGTCTCCAGGCATCTCAGGGCACTGCTGAGCACTGACCCTGGCACCTGAGCACTGGCCCAGCATTGCCAGGACCAAGTGCCTCCACCCCTGTGATGTGGCACCAGGGAGGACTCTGGTGACCTGGTGCACCACAAACCCCAGCCAGGGGACTTTGCCCCGTGCCAACACCTTGGGCTCTGCACGGCGAGGCTGCCTTGTGTGGTCCAGAGCCACCATCTCTTTGCATGTCTTAGGCAGTGTCCCTTATCCAGGGTACAACCCCAGGCCCCAAAACCACCTGTGCCAATCTCAGCATGAAGGACGGGGTGGGAACGCCTCCCTGCCACCTTCAAATCTTCCCACTACTTCCACGGTGCCATTCCCGACCCGCAGGGCTCCCAGGTGGGATGTGCCCCCAGACCTCAGCATCTGCACCCTGGCATGGGCACACTGGGCAGCAGCACGGGGGTCCCCGTGCTCCCCACACCCCCCCCGGTGCCAGGGGCTGCCCCTTCTGCAGAGGCCCCCCGCCCTGTCCTGTCCTGTCCTGTCGTGTCCTGCCGGGGGTTTTTTGTGGTCCCCGCGCCGAGCGGGGTCCCTGGCGGGGACAGCGGGGCTGCACGGGAGCGAAGTGAAGCAAGGCAGCAGTGATTCAGCGGGACACGCAGCCGGCCCCGTGCCTGGGCGAGCCGGGGCAGGACGGGCACCGGCACGTCCCTCCCGGGGGCGGGCAGCCCCGGGGGCAGCTCCGAGCCGCCACGGCCGGGCGGGGGTCGCGCAGACCCCGGTCCCGGGCAGGCGTCGGCAGCGCCCGCGCAGCGCCGAGCACCGGGCGGCGGAGCGGCGGGGATAGGGATGGAGCAGGAGGAGGAGGAGGACGAAGGGCAGGAGGTGGGGCTGGAAGTGAAACCGATTGGGGGGGGCGGGGCGGGCTCGTCATGTGAACGGCCGCATGCTCGGGCAGAAGTGGGTCACGGCGCGGCGGAGGGGCAGGTGCCAGAGCCGCCCGGTGCCGCCCGGTGCTTCCCGGTGCCGCCCGGTGCCTCCCGGTGCCGCCGCTCCCCGCCGCGCCCCGCGCCGCTCCGGACCCCCGCGCCGCCCCATGCGCCCCCCGGCGCCCTGACCGCGGCGGACACGATGCGAGGTGGGTCCGGGGGGCTGGGGGCTGCGGGGGACAGCGGCAGAACTTGGTCCCGGTGGGGATCGGGGAGACCCGCACCAGCCTGGCGGAGGGGGACGGGGAGGACCCGACGCCAGCCCGGCCGGGGATACGGGGGAACCCCGCCGGTGGGGGACGGGGTGACTCGGTGTCAGCCCGGACAGTGACAAGGGGGAACCCGCATCAACTTTGCTGGAGGGGCGCGAGGGGAGCCGTATGAGCCCCGCGGAAGGGATGGGAAGGACCCCGCAGCAGCCCCACTGGGGACACGGGGGGACCCGCATCAGCCTCGCTGGAACGGGACAAGGGGGGACCCGCACAAGCCCCGCCGAGGGGGACAAGGGGGGAACCCGCACCAGCCCCGCCGGGGCCGCTCTGCCTCCTCCAGCTCCCCCTTCGTTAGGAATAAAATTCTTGTTTATTTTGCTTTGCTTTCCGACGCCGGCTTAGACGCACTCTTAAGCTTTTCCCCGCACTAAACCCCTTAATCTCCTCTTCAATATGTTGCTCCCACCAGGGCTGGATTTATTGTAGTTTTTCCCCCCTTTTTCCCCTCCCCACGGCGTGGGGGGCAGTTTGGGAGGCTTCTGCAGGAACGGGCAAGGGATCAGGTGCAATTTTGGGTGCCCCTTTTCCAGGGTAGGGGTGAGTTGTGCCAGCACCTGCCTGGTTTTACCCATTACCAAAGGCAATTCCTACTTTTCACCCCTCTGCTTTGCCTAGCAGGCGGTGGGGAGGAGGAGGATGGAGGGAGGAAGGCTCCAGCAGGACAATCCAGCGGGGCCTGGTGATGGTGACGCAGTGGTGGCCGGACTCAGCTCTGTTCCCAGCGTGCTGGGCTGGGATTTTCATCCTCCTTTAAATCATTTTTCCATCATGCCCTGCCTTCCCCGAGCCCTTTGCCCTGCCAGGACTCCCTCGTGCCCCTCCGTAGGTGTGTTTTGGGGGTGCAGGTCTTTAGGCTCATTTTGGGGTGTGGGTACCAGGACGTTCATCCCGAGCTCCTCAAATCCTGTTTCCTCCCCGCTCCGCGGGTGCTGCGGCTCTGCCCTCGCCGCACTCTTGTGTAACGGTGGGGCCGGGTGGGTGAGGAGGGCGAGGCGAGCCCCCCACATCCCCTTCCTGCCCCTCGACATCCTGGGTTTTCACCTTTATTAGGACGGAGGGAAGCATTAACGCCTGCCTAATTGCGATCACGCCTGGCTCTTACGTAGCACTTGCACAGCCAGCACCGGTTTAATTAGCAACTGGGCGAACTTTTCCTTTTTAAAAAATATTTTTCCTTTCCCCGCATGAATTGCTGGTGTTGACCCTAATTTGGGGCCGAGCCCTCCTGATATCCCACAGTTCCCCCCAGTCGGGCGTTTTTCCCGCAGTCCCGCGTCCTCATCCCTCTCGAAGCCCAAATGCCGCATGGCGACGCCAAATTGATTCAATCTCCATTTTCCTTCCCAAAACCGCCACCGCTCTGCCCCATTTCCCCGGGGGCCACAGCAGCTCCTCGCTCCTGTCCTTCCCTGCGCCGCGGCTGCGCCGGGGCCGGGGAAGAGGCTTTGCCTTGTATAATCCTATACGATTTCCAGCCCTCCTGCTCACTTGTTTTGCAAGCAGCGTGGCGAGGAGCGTGCGGTGGCTCGGCAGCCTTTGCGACTTGTCCTAGTGACCTAGATCTGTCATTGGAAAAATCAGAGAGGGCGGAGGAGGAGCTTCCCTGCCCGTTTCGGCGGCGTGCACACGCTGGCGCGGCCGAGGGCGGCCGGCACCCACCGGCCCTCCCGCACGACGGCCGCGCCCGGCCCCGGTACCGGAGCGCGGGGATGGCCGTGCCCGCCGCTCCCCAAAAAAACAGCCTGGAGGAGAAAGCTGTCCGCTGGCTTTATAGGGTCCTGAGAAGTCCAGACGGGATTTGGGATCCCCCACGCTGATAACCGCAGGGAGAGTCAGCACCAGGAGGGGAGAGCAGCGGTGGGGGCCGGCGGTCCCTGTCCCCAGCCCAGCGTCCCTGTCCCTGCTGCCTGTCACGTTTAACTTTGAACTCGCGGCGGCTATTTAAAGAGCTGCTAATGTCTAAATCAGCCCGGTTTATCGGATGTGGTGAGCAGAGCTGCTCTCCTGCCTTTTTTTAGCCCCAGGGAGATAATTCCCCCCGGTTTAGCAGCAGTGCCGGAGGGGTTCTCCCACCGCAGCCCGGTTTGTCCCCACCCCGGGCTGCAGGTCCCCCTCCCCGCTGCCTCACCTTTGCCACCCTTCTGCAGCAGGCAAAGTGCAAAGGGCTGCGTCCTGCGCCGGCGGGGCTGGCCTTGGCACGGTGCTGCGTGGCACGGGAGCTGCTGAACCGGAGCTGCTGAACCGGAGCGGCCCGGGCAGGAGCCCGGCGGCCCCGGGGGAGCCACATCGCCCACCCGGCGCTGCGACTTCCCCGTTGGGGGCACACACTGCACCACGGGACAGGGAAGAACAGCGCTTTGCTGGGGACTGGGGAGAATGCAAAACCTCAGTTCGCGTGCCTGCAAGGGAAGGTGGCCAGGGGTTGCCCCAGGGCAGGGTGAGAACAACTGAGCGCTGTTCTGGCCCAAAGTTTCCAGGAAATCTTTGCTAATCACTTAGGAAAGCAGTTCCCCCTCCAGAATCCCAGCCCGGCACGGGCCATGGTTGTGTCATCTAAATTTTCCCTACTGCCCACTTGGCCTCGGTGTCCCTGTGCCTGGAGCCGGGGCTGAGAACACCCAGCACGGGCCTGGCTTGTTTGGGGTTCCCCGGGGGCATGGATGGGGATGGGATTTTTTGGCAGCCACGGCTGAAGTGCCGGGGTGCTGGGAGAGCCCGAGGCACTGCAGCACTGGAGGCTGTTTAATAGCAAAGCCAAGAGCAGATATAAAGGGGTGATAACTCCCTTTATTTCCTTGTTTATTCCTGCCCCAACAGCAAAACTGTGGATGGTGGCTGTGGGGAAGCGCAGTCACTCCTGGGGCTGGAGGTTGCTGCAGGGGATAAAGGTGCAGAGCTGGGGTTTAGTGCAGGAATGGGAAATGGGATGATGTTTTGGGTCCCTGCGTGTCCCTGTGGGTCCCTGTGCAGCCTGGACTCATCCTCCTCTCCCTGCTCTGGCTGCACCGGGGGGATGCTGAGTCCCCCTGGCAGGGGAGAGGGGGTGGAGGTGAAGCACTGGAGCACCCCGGTGCCCTGGCTGGGGCTGGGGGATCCGGGGGGCTGCAGGGCTGCTGCCAATTACCAGGGGTGCCCATCCTGCAGCATCGGTGGAGCCTGGCAGAGCAATGGGGCACGGAGCTGCTCTCCCAGCAGGTTCACTGGCTAATGAGCCAGGGCACTGGGGAAGCACCGGGGGGTATTTGGGGCAGGGATGGCCCCAGAGGCACGGAGCCACCTCTGAAATACTCAGAGCTGGGGTGCTGCCCCACTACCTCCAGCAGAGACACCATGGCCTCATGTGGCCCCCAGGGGAGGAAGGGGTGGCCATATTCTGTCCCTGTGGGATGACAGCTGTGCAGGCTCACCCTGGGGGACTGGCAGGGATCTGCCAGTGCACCCCAAAACAAACCCCTCCCAGGAGTCCTCACGTCGCAGCCAGAGGCACCCAGTTATGCTGATGGGGAGGGGGAAGCAGCTCCAAAAATTCTCCATCAGCAGTGGGGTCACAACACACCCCAAGGTTAATGGGCTGCTGAGGGTTTTGGGGTGATTCCCTCAAAGCAGTGAGATCATACGGCCGAGGGGAGGGACAGGAGGAGGAGGAGGAGGATGGGGCCACCATCCTCCCTGCGCCGCAGAGGGAGGGTCCGGCCCCCTGTGGCTGTGTCCTGCCTTGTTTTGTTTTGGGGTGCAAGAGATGCCCGCCCTTGGGGCGGAGGCGATGGAGGGGAGGGTGTGCCGGCCGATTCCTGCTCCGGGGAGGGAGGTTCTGGCTCTGCCGAAACCACCGGAGCCTCCAGCACGGGCTGGGGTGAGCGGTGCTGGGCTGGAGGGGACACACACAGCCAGGTCTGGGGGGGGACAGGCGACCTGGGCGCTGTGCAGGGACACACCTGTATCCCTCACCTGGAGCTGCAGCTCAGGGTGACAAATGGGTGCCCCCAGCTGGACGTATCACCCCAAAATCGCCGCTCCCGGTGGCGGGAGGTCGGGGTGCCGCCCTGAGCGCCAGCCCGGCCCGGGAGCGGCCGCGGGGCCGGAAGGGTTAACGGCCGTGGTTACACAAGCGCGCGTGGCCACGGGCAGAAAGTGTGTCAGTGGGACAGGACGGCTCCGAGCGCGGGCAGCGCAGCCGCCGCTCCGGGGCCATCGCCCCGCCACGGCCGGGGCCCGTGGCCGCACCGGGCCACAGGGCCACTTACATAAGGGCCGGCCGGTGGCAGCGGGCCGGGAGTTGGGCAAGAAGTGTTTACAGTGGGAGGAGAGCAAATACCACCGCCGGGACATTTTAATTGCCGGCTGGAGATCATTATTACTTTTTTTTTTTTTAACCCTTTCGTTGTTTCTTTTATCCTGATCTCTGTTTTAGCCCCATCGGCCCCGGGGTGGAGGTTCCCTGCTGCCTCCCCCAGAGGGGAAGAGGTTCACCCCCTCCTAAATGTCCCCCTCTGTTTGCAGTGTGGCCGATGGTGGCACGGTTGGAGGAGATGCTCAATTCTCTGGTGGGGAAACTGAGGCACAGGGGTGGGTGGTTGTGGTGGAGGAATATCCGGGATTTGGGGTCTACTGACATGTTTTCCTTGATCACAGTGAGATTTGGGGGATGTCAGAGCTGCTGTAGCCACTGCACCCCCACCCACATTCCTTCCTGTACCCCAAATCGTGGGGATTTGCCCCAGGAGTGTGTGGGGGGGTCGCAGGGGAGATGGGGGGACGGTCGGGCCGCCTCGGGGGTCCATGGCTGCGGCACGAGGGGACACTGATGGAGCCGACTCGGTGATTCAGCCGGGTTTACAATCAGAGCAGCAATTAACCGTGCCGGGCTGTAATTGCCATCGCCAGGTTACGGCCGTATCTCCACGTCAGTTATTTGGGGCGAGCGTCTTCGAGCGGGTCAGGTGCCAGTGGCGGGCACGGCCGGCTAATTAGCAGGATGATAATTAGAGCCCCAAAAGGCGGCGGGCACACGGCGGGTGGTCAGGGCTTGTCCTTGGCCAGGACAGCACCGTCTCCATCACCCTCAGCTCCAGCCCGGGGGCTCTGGGGGGGCGGGATTTGGCCCCCGGCATTACACGAATCCTTTGGGATCGTTGGGGTTTTTGGGCTGGCGTCGCTGGGCTGTGCCGGGGGGTGCTGGCGGTCCCGGGCCGCGCTCAGCCCCGGTGTTTGCCGGTGCCGGTAATTCCGGGTACCGGAGTATCGGCCGCGGGCGTGAGGGCGCGGCGGGCGCGATGCATCACCCGCGCTGCCGGCGGCTGCAATTAACGTTGCATAACGAGCCGACGCCGCTTCCTGCCGGGGGTGGCACCCCTTCCCTGTGCCCCCCGCCATGCCACCACCTCGGTGCCATCCCGGGACGGGGTTCGGGGCAGGGTGGTGGGGAGGGGAGCGGTCCCTGCGGTCCGGCAGCCTGGGGGAAGAGGGCAGCGGGATCCAGGGAATTGGGGGTGTCTTGGTCATCGGAGCTGGGTGGTGATTTGGGGCCCTCCTGGTGCCTCCATGCCCCTGCGAAAGGGGTGGTGCTGGGGCTGCGGTGTTGGTGCAGCTGCGGGGGATGTGAGGATGCCCTGGACATCCCTGCCCTGCCCACCGCGGGGAAACCAGCTCTGCTCTCCCAGGCTCAGAACCACGGCAGAGGCGTAGGCAGAGGATGTGGGGAGGGGCAGGGATGGGATGCGACTCCCTCGAGTCGGGGGACAAGACACAGCCCTGGGAGAAGCCCAGCTCAGCAGTCTGGGGGAGGAGGGGTAAGCCCCAAAACCACCTGGTGCATGTGGGGCATTAGGTTAATCAGTGAGCCAAAGGATTCAGGAGGGATCTGTTCCTCCACTTACACCTGGATTGGGAGTGAGTCCTTCCCCAGGGCTGCCGAGAGCAAACCTGCCCCAGGGGATACTGTGGTGGCATCGCCGGGGGGGTACCAATAGCATCCCTGGGGGTACCAATAGCATCCCTGGGATATTGAGCATCCCTGGGTGTACCGATGGCTCCCCTGAGGGACAGAGAGCATCCCTAGGAGGGACCAAGGCCATCCTGGGGGACTGAGCATCCCTGGGGGACCAATGGCATCCCTGGGGGACCAATGGCACCTCAGCTGCCCCTCTGCCCAGTGAGGCTTCAGTGCCCCATCCCAGCCTCCCAGAGGCAGCAAGGGACGCCAGGACCTCACCAGGTGCTGGGACACAGGTGGCACTGGCCGAGCACTGGGATTGTCATTCACAGAGGTGGCCCTGCAGAACACATCTCTCCACCAGAGCCGCCGATGGCTCCCAGGGGAGAGGAGAGGCAGAAGGGAATTACCCGAGCGGGGATTTGCACAGGCCCAGGGGATTGGAAATAACCATAATCTGGCCGTGGGGGTTATTTTGGCGCGGCGGTGGCTGCCCAGCACCCTCGAGAGCGCCGCCAGGCTGAGCCCGGCCGGGGCTGCGGGGGCTGGGGCGGGGATTAGAGGGTGCAGAGATGCCGGGAGGCACGTACGAGCCCCGGGGGTGCCGTGCATCCCCCCCCCGCGCGGGTCGGGAGGGCAGAGCCAGCCCAGATCTGGGGCAGCTGGAAAATGAGGAGGACGAAGCCTATTAGCAGCTCAGTGCCAGCGAAGCAGAAGCGGGGAGGGAAGCGGATTTGTGGGGGGAAGGGGGCCGGGACCTTGAGCTGGGGATGGCTATATCGGTCCTGGGTTTCAAAGGAGCTGCTGGGGGGTGCGGGGGGGCCCAGACCCTCTGCTTGGGCCAGACATCCAGCAGCAGAACATCTGCAGCTGCAGGGATGGGGATGGTCCCTGGGCCGAGGCTGTCCCTGTCCTGGTGCACACATCAGTTGAAAAATAAGGGGAGTGATTCCAAAACAGGGTCCAGGACAGGCTGGGGCAGAAATGTTTCGTGCTCTCCCAGATCCAAGGGCTTTCCTACCCTGGCTCTTGCTGCCGGGGAAGGGGGATACCCCATGCCCTGTGTGAACCTTTTAGGGACCTCTCTGAGGTGCAAGAATCCTTGTGGCATCTGTGGGAAGGGCTGAGCTGTCGCTGGGTCCAGCTCTCGTGCCTCAGTTTCCCCAGGTGCTGAGCCAGCCCGCGGCTGTCGTGGCCGGGGGCCACCTCCCTCCTCCCTCTCAGCAGTGACCATCATTAACCCCCGCGGTTTCCCCTCTTTCCCCACCCACCGCAGCCCAAATCGAGGTGATCCCGTGCAAGATCTGCGGAGACAAATCCTCAGGGATCCACTACGGTGTCATCACCTGCGAAGGCTGCAAGGTGAGCACGGGGGGCCGGCTGCGGTCGGGGGGCGGCCCTGGCTTCCAGCCGGGCGCTTTCCCAACTCCTCCCGTCCCATCCCGGGCAGGGTTTCTTTCGGAGGAGCCAGCAGAACAATGCCAGCTACTCCTGCTCCCGGCAGAGGAACTGCCTGATCGACCGCACCAACCGCAACCGCTGCCAGCACTGCCGCCTGCAGAAATGCCTGGCACTGGGCATGTCCCGCGACGGTGAGTGGTGCCCGGGGTCCCCAGGGGCCACCTGCTCCTCCTCGGAGCGAGTCAGGCACTCAGGATGAAGCTGCTCCCCCCAGGGCCAGCGCGGTGCGAGGAGGGTTTGGGGAGCAAGAAATGCTTTTGTGTTTTCCGCGGGAAAATCGAAACTGGTTCTGTTTGGTTTGACCCAGGGTTGGTCTGGGACGGGGGAGGGGGGTGCATCCAGTGGGGTCCCAGCCCCGCTGGGGGCTCAGAGACCCCCAGACCAGGCTGTCCCCCGGGAGCCAGGGCGTTGGGCTGTCGTGGCTTTGCCCAGGGGGCGAAGCTGCCCTGACACCGCCTCTCCCCCGGGGCAGCGGTGAAGTTCGGCCGCATGTCCAAGAAGCAGCGGGACAGCCTGTACGCCGAGGTGCAGAAGCACCAGCAGAGCCAGGAGCAGAGCGGCGGCGCCAAGGACGAGCCCGAGCCCCTGAGCCGCGTCTACACCACGAGCGTCAGCAGTGGCCTCTCGGACCTGGACGACATCTCCACGCTGTCCGACGGGCTCCTCTTCGACTTCCCCCTGACCCCCGATGGCAGCAGCACCTACTACAACCTGGACCTGCTGGCCTCGGCGCAGCCCTCGCCCGACCAGTCCAGCCTGGACGTGGCTGATGCCACACTCATCAAGCAGGAGTCCATCTACGAGCTGATGCTGGAGCCGGCGCTGCTGGCACACGGGGCGCTGGAGGGGGCCCAGCTGCCCCCTGACATCTCTGTCCTGGAGATCGGTGAGCACCGGTGCAGTGCAGGGCAAGCGAGGGGGGTGTGTGGCCCCGAGGATGGTGCCTGAGGTCACCCCAGCACCTTGCAGGACACCCCCAGCCTCTGGGGACACACACTCAGTCTAGGGGAGGGTGTCTCTGCCCGTGGCAGGGGGTTGGAATGAGATTTAAGATGAATAAATGGATGGAATTTAACTTTCCAACCCAAACCATTCTGGGATTCTGGGACTCAAAGATAGTGAGGCCAGCCTCAGCTCTTGGAGCAGCCCCAAGGCTCCCTGATGGAGCTCAGCACACCCAAGGTCATGTGGCACATCCCTGCTTGCTTCAGGCTCAGCCCCTGCTGCCCCATCTGTCCTCACACCCCCGTGACACAGCGTGAGAGCCCCATCACCCCTCCAGCCCTCAGCCCCTGCAGCCCCAGAGGTGAGGACAGGGTTGGGGTCCCCAGGTCTCACCGACTGCTGTCCCCACCCTGCAGACCGGGTGGCCCAGAACGTGGTGAAGTCGCACCTGGAGACGTGCCAGTACACAACGGAGGAGCTCAAGCGCCTGGCGTGGAGCCTCTACTCCCCTGAGGAGGTCCGTGCCCTGCAGAGCAAGGTGAGTGCCACTGGCACAGCCCCCTGGCACAGCCAGTGTCCCCTGGCTATGCTGGGTGAGGAGGGTCTGTCAGTGCTTTGGGAGCTGCCCAGATTGGGAATTTGCTGTCAAAGCTCACACCCCAGGTGTCCTAATGCCACCATCCCCCATGGATGGCACAGCACTGGGGACTCATCCCTTCCCTGTGGGTCACAGAGCTGGGGTGCTGGAGTGCCAGCACAGCCTGAGTGTCCCCTGTGGATGGCACGGCACTGGGGGCTCATCCCTGCCCTGGGGGTGACAGAGCTGGGGTGCGGGAGGGCCAGCACAGCCTGAGTGTCCCCTGTGGATGGCACGGCACTGGGGGCTCATCCCTGCCCTGGGGGTGACAGAGCTGGGGTGCGGGAGGGCCAGCACAGCCTGAGTGTCCCCTGTGGATGGCACGGCACTGGGGGCTCATCCCTGCCCTGGGGGTGACAGAGCTGGGGTGCGGGAGGGCCAGCACAGCCTGAGTGTCCCCTGTGGATGGCACGGCACTGGGGGCTCATCCCTGCCCTGGGGGTGACAGAGCTGGGGTGCGGGAGGGCCAGCACAGCCTGAGTGTCCCCTGTGGATGGCACAGCACTGGGGACTCAGAATTGCCCTGGGGGGGTCACAGAACTGGGGTGCGGGAGTGCCAGCACAGCCAGAGTGTCCCCTTTGTCCCCTGTGGATGGCATGGCACTGGGTTCTCATCAATGCCCTGTGGGTCACAGAGCTGTGGTGCGGTAGTTCCTGCACAGCCTGAGTGTTCCCTGTGGATGGCACAGCCCTGGGGACTCAGAATTGCCCAGGGGGGGTCACAGAGCTGTGGTGCGGTAGTTCCTGCACAGCCTGAGTGTTCCCTGTGGATGGCACAGCCCTGGGGACTCAGAATTGCCCAGGGGGGGTCACAGAGCTGTGGTGCGGTAGTTCCTGCACAGCCTGAGTGTTCCCTGTGGATGGCACAGCCCTGGGGACTCAGAATTGCCCAGGGGGGGTCACAGAGCTGTGGTGCGGTAGTTCCTGCACAGCCTGAGTGTTCCCTGTGGATGGCACAGCCCTGGGGACTCAGAATTGCCCAGGGGGGGTCACAGAGCTGTGGTGCGGTAGTTCCTGCACAGCCTGAGTGTTCCCTGTGGATGGCACAGCCCTGGGGACTCAGAATTGCCCAGGGGGGGTCACAGAGCTGTGGTGCGGTAGTTCCTGCACAGCCTGAGTGTTCCCTGTGGATGGCACAGCCCTGGGGACTCAGAATTGCCCAGGGGGGGTCACAGAGCTGTGGTGCGGTAGTTCCTGCACAGCCTGAGTGTTCCCTGTGGATGGCACAGCCCTGGGGACTCAGAATTGCCCAGGGGGGGTCACAGAGCTGTGGTGCGGTAGTTCCTGCACAGCCTGAGTGTTCCCTGTGGATGGCACAGCCCTGGGGACTCAGAATTGCCCAGGGGGGGTCACAGAGCTGTGGTGCGGTAGTTCCTGCACAGCCTGAGTGTTCCCTGTGGATGGCACAGCCCTGGGGACTCAGAATTGCCCAGGGGGGGTCACAGAGCTGTGGGGCGGGAGTGCCAGCACAGCCTGAGGGTCCCCTGTGGATGGCATGGCACTAGGTTCTCATCAATGCCCTGTGGGTCACAGAGCTGGGGTGCTGGGGTGCCAGCACAGCCTGAGTGTCCCCGCTGTGGCACAGAGCTGCGAGGCCATGTGGCAGCAGTGCTCGCTGCAGATCTCCAACGCCATCCAGTACGTGGTGGAGTTCGCCAAGCGCATCGACGGCTTCATGGAGCTCTGCCAGAACGACCAGATCATCCTCCTGAAAGCCGGTAAGGGGGGGAGCCCCACCGCCCCCCTTGCGTCCCTGACACCCCCCTTCGCGTCCCCACTGTCCCCCTCCCACCCCCAACACCTCTCCTGAGCGGCAGCCGTGGGGCCAGAGGCAAATCCCATCTTTTCTCTTGGCTGGTGCTTTCCTTGTGGGGTCCCCTCCCGGCTGCCCCAGTTCTCCCAGTGCTGGGGGAGCAGGTGCTGGGCTGGAAGGAGCTGAAGGTCACGTCTAAGGGTGATGGTGAAGGGGGGGCACGTGGGGAGTGGCTGCCTTGGGTAGAGGCTTCATCCAAATGTCACCCAGAAACTGGGATGGAAACGAGAACAGAAGGTTTTCCTCTGGGAGAAGGGGTGCCAAACTCAAACAGGAGCAGGGAGGATTGAGAGAGAAGGATTGGCCTCTTCTCCCAGCAAGAGACTGGGAAGAGGAGGATGATGGCAGCACACACCCACGTCCCCCACCCTTCCATCTGCCCAAGCTGGCAATGCCGTGCCCAGGCCAGGGAGCTGAATGTGCAAAATCCCCAAAACACTGGGAATACCTCATAGTTTCTAATCTGTCAGAGCTGGGGAGCTGAGATTAGCACCCAGCCCTGGGGACACGTGCCAGCGTCCCAGCGGGATGCTGTACCCCAAAGCCAGAGCTGGCTGTGCCTGATGCGCTGGAGTTTAACTCATTCTTTCATTTCTTCCTTCCATTTTCTTTTTATTTATTTTGTTTTTACCCTTTCCTCTCTCTCGGTGCTCCACCACGACCTCGGTCTCTTTGTGCCTGGCTGCGAATGACTGGATAATATTTCCCTTTGGTGAAATATTGTGGTCACAATTGGACACCTAAAAAAACCCAACCAATCCCAAAAACCCAATCTGGATTTGTTGAAATACCCATTCTTCTCTTGGGAATGAACAATCTGGACCTCAAACGTGCACTGGGGGCTTTCCTCTTTCTTACATTTGGTCCTGGGGTGATGGAAACCCCCCTGACCTTCCCCACCCTGCCCTGCCCTGCCCTCGTCTGCGCTCTCTCTGCCTACATCAGGTTGCCTCGAGGTGCTCCTGATCCGCATGATCCGCGCCTTCAACCCCTTGAACAACACCATCCTCTTCGAGGGCAAGTTCGGTGGGATGCAGATGTTCAAATCTCTCGGTAAGGGCTCGAGCTGGCCCTCCCTTGGGGCTCTCCTCCCTTCTCCTCCCTTCTCCTCCCTTCTCCTCCCTTCTCCTCCCTTCTCCTCCCTTCTCCTCCCTTCTCCTCCTCCTCCTCCCCCTATCCTCTGTTTTCCCTCTCCCTCCCTGTCCCTGTCCCTGTCTGGAACCCAGTCAAGGCTGGAATTTGCCAGGTGAGTGTACAGGACCCCCCTCCATCCATCTCCTCTCCCAAAACCTTTCCAAGCCCCAGGTGCCACTGGGCTCTGCTGGTGGGTGGGCAGAGCGGTGACAGTGACAGTGACGTGTCCCTGCTGTCCCCTGCTCAGGCTGTGACGACCTCATCGGTGCCGTCTTCGAGCTGGGGAGGACCCTGTGCCGCCTGCAGCTGTCGGACGAGGAGCTCGCCCTCTTCACTGCTGCTGTCCTGCTCTCCCCAGGTACTGGGGGGCCCCACGTCTGGGGGTGTCCTGTGGGGAGAGCTGACCCCATAAAAACCTTCCTTGGTGGTTGATTTCAGTTATTCCTGGGAAAGGAACTTGGGGGAAAAATGCATCTAAAGGTGGACAAAATGCATCTGTCAAATTTCCTTGGCGAGAAGAGGAACAGTGTCACCCAGGGTGGGGTGGGGAGCAGAGAGAGGAGCCAAGTAACCCCAAAACCATCCTGGAGAGCAGGAAGGGTTAAAAAAGCCAGGGGCAACTCCCCTGTGCTTAGGAGAGACCCTGTGGTGGCTCTGCCCCTGTGGTGACTGGTCCTGCGGTTGTGGGAACTGGATTAGCCTCTAATAGTGACAGCATTCTAATAGTTATCTTCTAATTGTGATAGAATTATAACATATATATTGTCTCACCCTTACATAGGACTAAAAATAAAATAAAAGTTCTTAAAGCCCTCTCTGTTGCCCCATCTGTAAGTCAGAAAAGAACCTAATCCAGCAAGGGGTGACTCTGTCCTTCCTCTCCCGCAGACCGCCCATGGCTGACCGAGTCCAAGAAGGTGCAAAAGCTCCAGGACAAGATCTACGTGGCCCTGCAGCACGAGATCCAGAAGAAACACTCCGCTGAGGACAAGCTCTCGAAGGTAGTGGCACAGGAAACCCGGGCAGGGCTGCAGGTTGTGTCTGAGCTGCAGGTTGTGTCTGAGCTGGGGGACAGGGCTGTGCCAGAACTCACGAACCACACGGGCATTTTGCAGAGAGAGACCCCAAACCTGTCAGAGAAGGAGAGGAATTTTTACTTCCAAGGGCTGTGAATCCCCACTGTGGTGCAGGCAGAGGCAGCACTGTGCTGCTGAACCTGGCAGTACATCAGGAAGTGGGTTTTTTTAGGTAAAAGGAGCCATTTTGGGAATGCTTTGACCTGTACAGAGCTGGGGTTAGGAGGAGACCCCCGTGGAAAGAGGTGGGTTTGGGGATGAGGCCAGGTTGCTGCCAGGCTGGTGGCAGTCTGGGCACTCTGCTGATGTCCCAGTGATCCCCAAACCCACCCCCTGTGCCCAGGGAAGGGGGAACAGCAGTGCACGGGACACCAGGTGATCCCCAGACCCCCCTGCTTGTCCCCAGGAGAAGGGGAACAGCAGCATCAGGGCCACCACAGCCAGCATCCCCGTGGTCACCAGCTCCTTCTCTCCCTGCAGATGGTTTCCAAGCTGCCCTTGATGAAGACCATTTGCAACCTGCACTTGGACAAGCTGGAATTTTTCCGTCTCCTGCACCCGGAGACTGCCATGAACTTCCCCCCCCTCTATAAGGAGGTTTTCAACTCGGAGCTTCAGTACAGCGACCCCCGGGAGAGCTAAGGCCAGGAGCCGGCGGCCCCCTTCGAGTTCCCCAAACTTTGGAGACAAACTGCACTTCAGAGGTTTGGGGCAATTTATTTAAATCAAATAATCAAAGGCAAGAGAACCCCGGGGGGGCTGCAGCGCCTCCCTGGCCCCGTCTCCTCGCTGTGGATTGCAATAGCTCTTGAATGTAAAGCACCTTGAAGGAAAAAGCAAATGGACTTTGCCATACCAGTGAAATGAATGTGAAATCTCTGCTTGGGAGAGGAGATGCTCCTGGCAGTGGTGAGGGACCGGCTGCTCCCGGTGACACGGGAGGAGGGAGTGCCCTTCCCACTGTCCCGGCTGCACTCTCCGCCTCCCATTTTTATTGCTTTGTTTTTTAATTATTATTTTTATTTTATTGTGGTTTTTTAACCCGAACATCAGGCATGGGATAAAGAAGGGGCGATACTGACTCGGCTGGGTCGGGTTGGGGCTGCAGCTGAGGAGAGGGAAGGGACAGAGCCTTTGCTTTATTTCGTCTCCCACGGGTGCAGCGGAACCCCGGGAGCTTGGCCAAGAAAGGCCTGCCTGTGGCTGGTGGGAGATTCAGCACAGGATTTTCCTGTGGGGGAAGCTGGTTTGAGGGAAAAGATGCCCAGTGTAGCAGGGCAAAAATTGTGCAGGGTCTCCATGCCCTGCATCACAGCATTTTCCCAAATTCCCAGCCAGTTCCTTGTCCAGCTGGATGACCACCTGGCTTAGTGGAGCTGGTTCAGCAGGTTCGCCTTTCTCGTGCCACCTCTGTGCATCCCAAAAGCTTTTGCAGGCCTGTGGGACTTCAGCCAGAGCCCAAATCCTGGCCATCCCACCCCAGAGGCACCCGTGGCCACTGGAGGGGCCCAGGGCTGTCCCTGTCCCCGTGGTGGCCACAGCAGTGGTGGCTCTCTGGGTGCTGCTGCTGTGTGTAGTTCTCTTATCAATCCCATTCAAACTGCCCCATGGTTCAGCACCCAGAGCAGGGTTTGTGACCTTTTCTCCACCCAGCCCACAGCTGGTCCCATTCCCAGGTTCCCCTTTCCCACACCACACACAGGAACCCAGATGTGGCTGCAGGTTGAGTTGGACCCAGGCTTTCCCCTCAATGAGCTCCATAGAACTATTTTGGGAGTTGCTCTTGAGTTAGCAGGATTTAGGAGCTTTTTATGGGGAGAAACTGCCTGTTGGAGCCAAGGCGAAGTGAAAGGTCCTTATTCCCTTAAGGAGTAAGGCTGGTTGGAAGGAATGTGGTGTTAGGGACCTGCTGCTCCTCTTGGGAGGCTCAAAGGGCGATGAAGGAAGGATTGGTGGGATGATGCTGTTCCAGGCCACGGCAGCAGGGGATGCTTGAGAGACTCTGTGGCTCTGCAGATGGATTTTTCCATCCCTGCTCCTGCTCCCATTGCAGCAAATGCCAAAAACCTACAAGGGAAAAACCTGCTACGAGGCAGCCCCAGTTTCTGCTGACAAAGGGCTAAAATCCCAAACCCCTTTCCTGCTTTGTGCTGATTCCTCGTGCACCCAACCCCATCCTCGGGCAGCTCGGACCATCCCCGAGCAGGAGCCAAAACCTTTGGATCCATAACTGCACCCTTCAAACTAAACAAGCAGCTTTCCTAGCAACATGAAGGATATTCCTGCTTTTGTTAAAAGACCTCCTAGGGAAGACCATGGACCAACCTTGATGAGGGAAGACTCCCCAGGAAGCTGATGGGATTTCTGCTCCGCTCCAAGGCAGAGGGAATTTGGGACCGCATTCCTCCCCGGCAGCTGCCATGCGCAGCCCTGAGCTCCCTGGCTTTGCTGACCACATCCCAACTGCTTCTGGGAGTAGATTGGAGCCTGCCAGCCTCGGTCCCCTCTCTGCTGGAGCCAGGTCTCTGGGAAAAGGCTGCCGGCCCTCCCACGGCCCCACGCCACGTCCAGTGCCAATGCGTCGCTGTCCAGCGCAGCGTCCACGGCGTGGGGATGTGCCCGGCTCCTCTCCTGCCCTCTCCAAAGCTTGGACAGAAGAGAGAAGTCAGTGCTGCCTTTTACGTCCAGAGGGTTGTGCCTTTTTTTTTTTTTTTTGGAAGCATCATTTCCGACAGCACCGTTCGCTTCCCGGGAAAAGCGGCCCCAGAAGGTGACTGCGCTCGGAGGGAACAGCCCGTGGGGGTTTGGGAACGTTTGGGGAAAAACAGAAATTAAAAAAAAAAAAAAAAGCACACACCCTTCTTTTTGCCCTCAGTATTTGTCAGCCAACCCAACACACACCAATGGTCAACGCCACCGACTTCATTTCATCCGGCAAAGAACCCAGGAAAGCACCTTAATTTGGGAACATCACAGCGTCCAGCCCGTGGGGAGATTCTGGATTATTCTGAGCAATAAGAGCCCCCCCGTGGGAACCTAGGGAAGACTGGAAGTATTAAACACGTGTAACTCGACCTGCCAAACTGCAGGAACCTGCACTTTTCAGTTCTCTTTAGAGGAACCGACTTGATTCGATGATTTTTTGGGAGGGGATAAAGTGATTGGGTGTCGATTCAGTGATTCCTGGCCTGGGACGGGTGCCACGCATGGAAAGGGATGGCAAGGGGTGGAAAGGGATGGCAAGGGATGGCAGCCCCTGCTCGGGGCTCGCCAGGGCTGTGCCAAGGTTCCTCACCCCTGCTGGGCCACCCAGAGCTCGCAGGGAAAGGGCGAACGACAAAGCCTGGGCAGAAATGCCCGAAAAAGGGAGATTTCCCTCTCCCCTGTGGCCAGTGGGGAGGGGGCCCGGGAGCCCCGAGCCCCCCGTGGCTCTGGTGCTCTGGAGACGTTCCCATCCCAGCACGGGATGTTCCTTTCCAACAGCCCTGGGCAGCCATGGCTCCTTTCCAGACCAGATTAATTTAGTGTTTGTTTGTCTGCTCTGGCAGTTTAGCTGAGTGTCCATTTCCACCCACAGAACCCTCACACTGTGTATAAAGATGGATCAAAAATATATATAATATATATTCTTGTGAATGTTGGTGGAAAAGAGAAAAATATATAAAGTTTCAGTCGGCTTTATGTTATTTTTTATCTCTATGAATGAAAGGAAGAAATGGAAAACCTTTTATTTCCATTGACCACCCCTCCACACACACCTACCTGTAGATACCAACAGGTTTTATGGAAATGTTTTACTTTTTAGATTTAGGAAAATGCTTCTGTTCTCATTGAATGTTCTGTCTTGTAAGATTGTAATTTCTATTTTTTTAAAGAAAAGAAAATAACTAAATAAAATTTCCTCTTTCAGACCAGTCAGCTTAGGAAGGGAGGGCAGGGGAGGGAGAAACGTTTATTTAAGGACAAAAACTGTTGTTGGAATTTTTCATAACATTAAATAAAAAGTAATATAATGTATGGATGACAACCTTTTTACTGAGGTGTGTTCTGTGGGTACATAGATGTATATTGCACAAAATTTACAGGAACAAAAATAAATTATGTTTCACAAGGTAAAAAAAAAAAAAATATATATATATATATATAATGTTGGAAATAGTGATTTTAAATTTTAGCAAAGAATGAGAGTGGAAGTGAATCCCTCAAAGTGATGGAAAAAAGCTTTAATTTCTTCCATGGGTTAAAGACTGAGCTGTACCAGAATCCCAGAATTATTTGGGTTGGAAGGGACCCCAAAGCCCACCCAGTGCCACCCCTGCCATGGAAGGGACACTTCCCACTGTCCCAGATCACTCCAAGCCCTGTCCAGCCTGGCCTTGGGCACTGCCAGGGATCCAGGGGCAGCCACAGCTGCTCTGGGCACCCTGTGCCAGGGCCTGCCCACCCTCACAGGGAACAATTCCTGCCCAGCATCCCATCCATCCTGTTCAGGATTTGGACATAAGGGCAGATTTCAGGCACGGGGAGGTGTTCCTGCTTCTCTTAGTGCACAGCACGGTAAGCCAGGAGGAGGCTGGATCCGTGCCCTGTGGGTGTGTTTGCTCTGGAGCCCCTGGCAGCTCCTCCCAGCCCCTGTGCACCCTCCAGCCTGGGCACTCCAAGGAGGAGCAGAGGTCTGGGGAGGTTCTTCCTCAGGGAACGCTGCTCAAGCAGCCCTCGAGCTGAGGGACAGGGACTGCACCTGGCAGTACCGGGGACACATTTTGGGACAGGAGAGAGGAGACAGGTCTGGAGGGATGGTGCATCTGTGGGGAGGACTCAGGGACAGCCAAGGAGCATTTGGGAGTCATTTTCAAACAGTTCCCAGACCTAGAAAGGAAAGAACACAGCAGATATACCAGGGCATTATATATACATGGATGTTCTTGGATGTCCTGGATTTAACAAGGATGCCAGGCACTAATCTCTGCTCTGGGACAGGGACGGGAGGCCAGGAAGGGCTGGAGCTGTGCCAGGGCTTGGCATGGAGCTCAGGGAAAGGTTCTTGCCCCCGAGGGTGCTGGCACTGCCCAGGCTGCCCAGGGAATGGTCCCGGCCCCAAGGCTGCCAGAGCTGCAGGAGCGTTTGGGCAGTGCTGCCAGGGGTGCTCAGGGTGGGGATATTGGGGTGTTTGTGCGGGGACAGGGGCTGGGCTGAGCATCCCTGAGGGTCCCTCCCAGCTCAGGATATTCCAGGACTCTTTGAATCTCTGCTCTGGGTGCACACAGGTCAAAGGGATCACTGGGTGTGAAGCCACATCCTCGCTTCCTTCTGCTTCCCCTGTGAGCCTCACCTGGGTGGCCATTCCCAGGTCAGGGCTGTGTCCCCCTGCACACAGCTGGGCTGCCCAGGAGCTGTGGGGCACAGGGAAACAACAAAAAGGGATCCTTGGAGCAGCAGGGTCAGGCAATGCCAGCTCCCACTGCTGCCCTCGGCCATCCCAGGGGACAACACAGCTCCTCCTCCTCCTCCTCCTTCCCACCCATCTGGGGTTCAGATATTGCGGGATAGACCCTGGGCAAAGCAGGGCACAGCTTGTGGAGATGTTGGGAAAGGCCATCACCCACTTTGGGGTTCCTGGGGTGTCCAGGGAACCGCTGTGTTCCATGTGGGAGCTCCAGACCCTTGGCTTGCTGCACACTGACATTTTGGCTTTCATTAAAAAAAAAATATTTGTTTTTATATTATTTTAAAATTATTTTATTATGTTTTTTGTTATATTTAAAAATTCCCCCCCCCCCCCAAAAAAAAAAAAAAAAAAAAAAAAAAAAAAAAAAAAGTTCAGGGAAAATGGCTGCAGGGGAGAAGCTGGGAATTCTGCAGCCCGGGCTCAGGAGGGACAGGATCCCACGGAACAGGGACAGGAGTTTGGGGTGGCCGGGCGCTGTCCCCAGTAGCGCTCCCTGTTTCACTGGTCCTGCAGCACTGGATTTACTGGGGCCGAGTGACCTCTGCTGGTTCACACCCAAAATCTGCCCTGCGTGGCGAGGATCCGGAGGGATTCCAGGGCAGCTCGGCGTGCTTTGGAGAGAGTTTCGGGCAGGTTTTCACAGAGGTCTCAGCATTTCTCAGCAAGGAGGGATGAGCCTGACACTGCTGGAGCTGGCAGGGACAGAAAGCACGGCCCCAGCGCTTGGAAATGGCTTTGAAAGGCCAGCTGGGGTTTTATACACCCGAATTAATAGGATTTGCAGAGCTGAGACCTTGCAGAGGGATCCCTGCTATATTAAGGAGTCTAATGTGGTGAAAATAAGGACTTAAGGAGCTCTAGAAGTGCTCAGGCTGGAAAGGACCAGAAAAAAAAAATTAAAGAAACAAAATAAAATTCCTCTTTTAGACCAGGCAGCTTAGGAAGGGAGGGCAGGGGGAGGAAGAAATACTAATTTAAGGACAAAACTGTTGTTGGAAATTTTCATTACATTAAATATAAAGTAACGTAATGTATGGGTGACAACCTTTTTACTGAGGTGTGTTCTGTGGGTACATAGATGTATATTGCACAAAATACACAGGAACAAAAATAAAGTCTGTTTTATGAAGTAAAAAAAGTTAAAAAAAAAAAGTAAAGTAAAAAATCCCCACAAACAACTAATAATGTTGGAAAGAGTGATTTTAAATTTTAGCAGAGTGAGACTGAAAATGAATCCATCAAGATTTTGAATTGGAAAAACTTTAATTTCTTCTGTGCTCTCAGGACCGAGCTGTACCAGAATCACAGAGCGGTTCGGGTGGGAAGGGACCCCAAAGCCCATCCAGTGCCACCCCTGCCAGGGCAGGGACACCTCCCACTGTCCCAGGCTGCTCCAAGCCCTGTCCAGCCTGGCCTTGGGCACTGCCAGGGATCCAGGGGCAGCCACAGCTGCTCTGGGCACCCTGTGCCAGGGCCTGCCCACCCTGCCAGGGAACAATTCCTGCCCAAGATCCCATCCAGCCCTGCCCTCTGGCAGTGGCAGCCATTCCCTGTGTCCTGTCCCTCCCGGCCATGTCCCGGCACCCTCCAGGGAACAATTCCTGCCCAAGATCCCATCCAGCCCTGCCCTCTGGCAGTGGCAGCCATTCCCTGTGTCCTGTCCCTGCAGGCCTTGTCCCCAGTCCCTCTGCAGCTCTCCTGGAGCCCCTTCAGGCCCTGCAAGGGACTCTGAGCTCCCCTGCAGCCCTCTCTCTGCCCGGTGAACGTTCCCGCTCTCCCGGCCATGTCCCGGCACCCCCAGCAGCTCCCCCCGGCGGGCGCGGTCCCGGTACCTCAGACAATTCTGTCCCTCCCGCCTGCCGTCCCGCGCCACCGCCCCTCCCCTCCGCCCAGTCCCTCACATGATAGCGGTGGGTGCGCGCCGCGAGGCACTCTGGGAATTGTAGTTCACGGCGCGGGGCGCGCAGCGGCGGCCGTGACTGGCGGGACTCTGTTTCCCGGCGCGCCCCGCGGCGACCCCGGGGGGAGCGGGACCGGGCGCTCGCTGAGGTGGGCGCGGGGGGATCGGGCCGGCCAGTCTGAGCAGGTGACAAGGGGTGGAACAGGCTGGTGTCCTAAGCACGGGTGTTTCTGTGCTTTCTGCCTTCTTGAGCCATCTGAGCTTCTGTTCCTGAGCAGACACGCTTCACTTCTGGACGTGGTTGTACCAAAATCAATATTTGTCTGCTGTGGGTTTTGCATAGGCAAATTAAAGCTCCTGCCCACCTGCTGAGGCAGCACAGGGCTGTGTAAACAGGCTGGGGGAGCCCTGAGGGGAATTGCTCCCACATCTGCTGTGTCCCTACCTCCAGGATGGGGGGGACATGGGGCAGCAGAAGCCCCTGTATAGCCAGAAGTCCCCATGAGCCTCCTGGAATAATGTGGGAGGGGGATAACCCTTGTAACTTCACTGTCCCCTGCTCCTTTTCTCAGGGCACTGCTGCCATACTGGTTGTGGGTGGCTTTTGGTGTTATTTTTTGGCTGGTTGTGTCACTGCAGGGACAGTGTCCCACCCGTGAGGGCTGGTGGTGCATCAGGGGGAGGAAGCACTGCCAAAGCCAGGCTGTGTCAGCTCTGGGTTTGTAGTGCTGAGCTGATTGTTTTGGAGTGGCTGCTGCTGCCTTGGGCTCTCTGGGAAGTTCCTGGTAAGAGCTGGGCATCTGGAAGAGGCTCAAACCCAGCCTTTTGTCTTGAAACCAGTGCAGAGCCACCACTTTCTCTTTAAATTCAGCTGGAGAGATCATGAGAAGGATGTTTGCCTGTGTTGGGAGCAGCAGAGGCTGAGATGATTCTCTGCTTAGCTGGGTGATTTCAAACCCAGATCTCTGGGATCCCTGCAGGGGTCTCATTCCTTTTAGGCTCTTCTGAAAGGTCTGGGGTCTGCTGGCTCAGGGTGGGTTCTGAAAGCCTGGTAGGCTGATGGTCCTCCCCAGAGGCTCAGCTTGAACTGCTGTCAGGATTGTGTGTTGTGCCCAGGTTCCTCATTCCTCTTGTGTTCCCGTCATTAAATCCCCGTTGATGAGGGAGTGCGGACAGTTCTGCTCTGTGCTGGGATCCTGCCCCTCTGTTTGCTCTTGGCAGAGTGCTCTGGGTGAAACCCTGGAGTACAGGATTGTGTGGAAGCTTGCCTTGCTGCATCACAGAGTCAGAGTCCTTACAGCTGGAAAATACCTCCAAGGTCATTGAGTCCATCCTGTGCCCCATCCCCACCTTGTCCCCAGCCCAGAGCTCTGAGTGCCACATCCAGCCCTTCCTTGGGCACCTCCAGGGATGGGGGCTCCAAACCTCCCTGGGCAGCCCCTGCTACAGCCTGACCACCCTTTCCATGGAGAAATTCCTCCTGATGTCCAACCCGAACCTCCCCTGGCACAACTTGAGGCCATTTCCTCTTGTCCTGTCACGTGTTCCCTGGGAGCAGAGTCATCAAATCAGAATGAAAATACAGAGGCAGTACAGGAAATATCCTAAAGCAAGGACTCAGAAACTGGGGGATCTGTTGGATGGAAAGCTTGGGTTATTGGGCTCTTCTGAGATTGGCTGGGACATCTGCAGGGCACGAGAGGAGCCAGTGTCCTGTGAATCTGGTCTTGGGGACGTGCTCCAGGTCACTTGGTGGTTTTATGGCAAAGCAGGAATGAATTCAGCTCTCCCACCTCCCTGTCAATGCTCGTCTTCTGGCCTGGCCTTTGCTTGTTCTCTGCCACCTTTCTGTGATAGTGGAGAAAACAGCAGGGAGAAATAAACTTTTAAAATTACTTGATATGGACAGAATAAAGCAGGGGACTGAGGAGTAGTGTTGCAGTAGCAGGAATGCAGGGGATACTCAGTAAGTTTGCTGGGGATACTAAATTGGAAGGAGCTGCTGACCCCCTGGAAGGCAGAGAGGCCCCACAGAGAGTCCCTCACAAATGGGGGCTGAGCAACACCCAACCATGTGACAAGTGACAAGGGCAAGTGTCAGATGCTGCCCAGGGATGGGGCAGCCCTGGATGCAGGGACAGACTGGGAGTGAGGCTGGAGAGCAGCGCCGTGGGAAGGGCCCTGGGGGTCCTGGTCAGTGGCAAGTTGGATCTGAGTCACCGCTGTGTCCTGGCAGCCCAAAGGGCCACCCTGTCCTGGGGGGCACCAGGCCAGGGAGGGACTGTCCCACTCTGCTCTGCACTGGGGCAGCCTCACCTCCAGGGCTGGGGGCACTTTGGGCACCACGAGCTCAGAAGGATCCAGAGCTGTTGGAGAGTGCCCAAAGGAGGGACACGGAGCTGGGGAAGGCTCTGAGGAGCGGCTGAGGGCACTTGGCTCGTTCAGCTGGAGCACAGGAGACTGAGGGGAGGCTCCTCGGGGGCTGCAGCTCCTCCCCAGGGGAGGCAGAGGGGCAGGGGCTGAGCTCTGCTCTGGGACAGGGACAGGAGGCCAGCAAGGGCTGGAGCTGTGCCAGGGCTTGGCATGGAGCTCAGGGAAAGGTTCCTGCCCCCGAGGGTGCTGGCACTGCCCAGGCTGCCCAGGGAATGGTCCCGGCCCCAAGGCTGCCAGAGCTGCAGGAGCGTTTGGACAGCGCTGCCAGGGGTGCTCAGGGTGGGCTTGTTGGGGTGGCTGGGCAGGGACAGGGGCTGGATTTCATCCCTGAGGGTCCCTTCCAGCTCAGGATCTTCCAGGATTCTATGATACTCAAAATGTGCCTCAAAGCAGATTCCTACAGGAATTCCTTCACAACATTTTCCCTAGTCTGAGGTGGTGCAGTGTTTCACACTGCAGTCACATTCAAAGGAATCATGCTGTTGTCTGCCTGGAAAAACAGCACTGTTTGTGTTTGTGTCTTGGTTTGAGAGGGAAGTGGTGTCCCTGGAAGTGACACAGGGCATTTTGTCTGCGAGATCCTGGTAAAGAAAAGCTCCAAGTGTCTCCAGTGGACTCCTGAGTCATGTGCATTGGACTGTGAACTTCGGAGTTATTCATTGACCATGGATGAGCACGGTGGAAAAAGGAAGTTCACTTCACACCGGAGTTTCCTTAGCATGTGTGGGATTTTCCTCCCTCCACAAGTAGTGGATTATAGATTAAGAAAGTATTTGCAGTGGGTGCAGGGTGTTGGGTTTCACCTATTCCCAATTAAACTGAAAATATCCATGTGAACAGAGATCTGATTTACGTGTTGGAGAGGGACTGTTTGTAAGAGGGTGTAGTGAAGGGACAGGGGGGAATGGCTTCAAACTGACAGAGGGCAGGGTTAGATTGGATATTGGGAAGAAATTATTAGGAAGAAGCTCCCTATCCTTTTACCAGGATCTGGGAAGGTCAGCACATCTCAGGAAGTGATTACTCAGTGTAAAACATGGCCATGTGTGCTTATCCTTGCTGAAAGAATTGTTCTTAATGCTGCTTTGTGGATCCAAACCACATCTTTCTATGGAAGGGGGTGCATCACCAGAATGCTGCTTTATCTGGGGGTTTTATTTATTTATTTGAGTTAAAACCTCTCCACAGCACCACAGGCTGCCTTGAGAGGAGGACACAGGAAAACCATTGTTTGGCCATTGCAGGAAATCCATTGTCTGGCTCTGTCAAGCCAGGAGTGTCCCCCTCAGTCTTTTCTTCTGATCCTTTTTCCAGTGGACAAACACCTCTCTGCAGCTGTAGGACACCAACACTGAAGTGCAGTAGCTAAGTAATCCTCTGAAGAAGAAGAAGAGGTTTATTTGCAGGCTCATTCTTCAGTAAAGGATTTCTCTCTCTTAGTGCTTTAGTGTAGCTGGTGTTCATGGGCCATTTGTTCTCCCCCTGAAATTCCCAGATCTCAACTGAGAGCAGCTGCAGAAGGGTGGGGTGAAGTTTTAATGGTGTTCTTAACCGTCTTCATCCTTTGTTTTCTATTCACACATTTGAAAAATGCAAAGCAAAAGGCTCCCATTTCCAAACCATCAGTTACAAAATGGTGTGGGGCAGTGTTGGTGTTGAGGGACAGCCCTGAGGCCTCAGCTGTGGCAGGGATGGGGACAGAGCCTCCTGTCCACATGCTGGGGCTTGCTGGAGACTGGTCCAGGAAAATAATATGGTTTCCTCTGTGCAAACATATTTAAGCTTGTACATCTCTGCAGAGGAAGAGCAGGCTGCTGGTACAGTCCCAGGTGCTGCTGTCTCCACAGGCTAGGTTAGAGCAGCTCAAATGAAAAGAAAAGGAAAAGCAACCCAAGAAAACAGCTGTGCCAGTGCAAAACTCTGCAGCCTCCAGACCTTACCTGAGGACAGCACCAAGGTGCAGCAGAACCAGCTGCTGTAAATCCTGAGGGATTTGGGTACAGTGTGGCTGTTCTGACCCTGCTGCTGAGGCTGCTGGTGTTTTTAGTGGCATATTTTAGTCTAGACTGCTTTCTTTTCTGTCATAATCCAGTGCTGGTTTGCAGGGTTGGTTTGTGTGTTCTGTGTTTCCATTCTGGGATTTGCAGGTAGGGACACATGGTGTTTTTGTCCTTAAGGAAGAAGGGGTGGAATTAAAACTCAGCAAAGACCTCTCTGTGTATTTCATCTGTGGGATCAGCTCTGCCAAAATCAGCAACACGGCTGATGCTGGGTAAACTTCCCAGGATTTGCTTCTGCCAGAGCTACAGCCACACTCAGTGGTGGTAACAGGAAGAATGAATCTGCATTTGTGCAGAATTTCTAAAATAACAAGGGGTGTTTGGTTCGGTTCCAGCTGATTATTTTTTGTTAAGCAGGAGTTTAGTGCCCAGCTAACAGAGATTATCTGTTTGTTCCAGGAGCTGGGAAGCACCACAGAGAGCCAGGAGCCAACAAATCATCTCAACACCTCAATGAGGCATTAAGTCTGGTGAGCTCTACACATTTCTCTTCCAAAGTATGAGCTCTGCTGGGTCCCACCCTGACCTGTGTGGCTGCCCCTGGGAGCTGCAGGTGTTCTGGCAGGGGCTCCCTGAGCATCCTCAGCCTTTGCCAGGGGCACTTTTGTTTGCTGCTGGATGATGCAAACCTTCTAAGTGGCTGAATGAGGGGCTGCCAGAGCTTCCTCTGCACAAGGAGAAATCAGGATCCTGCTTGGGGGGCTCCAGCCTTCTTCCTTTGGGTGATGGATATGAGTAGTTTGTACTGGATACCCTGGGCTAGTGTTTGTCACACACTGGGAACATTCCCAGTTCCAGGAGGTTTTCTGGATTCTGCTTAGTGGCATGTGCTGACCTGATTTTCTTTCTCCCATAGATCTATTGCTCTGTCTGAAACCTCACCAGGGAACACAAGTATTAGAAATGGCAGGTAAGAGCACCTCGGGTACAGCCAGTAGGGAGAGTGGTTTCAGGGAGTTGTTCATGATGCTGTAACATGTCAGGAATGTGACCTGTGTCCCTCTCCAAGACCTTGGTGATCCCTAAAGCTCTTCAGCTACTTCTCGTGGCTTGGTCACATTCACTTTCCTGCTGTGTCCTGATCTGTCACCTGAAACAATGTACATGAGAATAATTCCTTCTTTCCAGAGGCTTTCCACAGTGTTCCTAGCTGTACTATTGACATTAATCCATCTGAATTATACTTGTAGTGAAACTAGTAACAAAATTTCAACCTTTTTTAAAGTAAGAGGAAGTCTGGAATTTGCCTCACGCTGCTGCTCATGGGTGATGCAGTTTGGTTTTTGAAAGCATGGGGTGCATTTGCTGATCAGATGTGTTGATGAGAGAACTGTAGCACTCCAAGCTCTGCAGTCAGACATAAAAGGGGATATTTTCATGTAATTTATTTTGTCTAATCTCAGAAGTAACCCAGAACAGCTGGCAACTGCAGGGTCTCTGGGTGGGAGGAGGTGGGGAGCAGCTGGGCAGCAGCAGAGAAGAGGTGTAATCCCCAGCTTTGTGTACCTAGCAAACAATCCTGGGGATGTTTGGACCATTTTATGAGCTTGAAAAATTACAAACTGCAGTGGCTGCTTGGTTTTGGCCCCACCACATGGGAGCTCTGCACTGGGAGCTGGCAGCAGCTCTGTCCATGACAGAAAATGGGAGAGAGCAGAACCAAAGGAACAATCTGCAGCTTCAGCTGTTGAAGAGGGACAGAACAAATTTTCCTCATCCCTCAGAAAAAAAACAAAAAATTGTTAGAGAATCAGCTTTTACTGTGATTGATTAATCTTGGTCTTCCTGGCTTCCCTAGAGACCTGTCCTTTCAGCTTTAAAAGCTGTGTCCCCTCCCCTTCCCTTGATCCAGCATTGTTAAATCCCTTTCTAGGCTGCAGGGACACACTGTGCAGGAGAAATCCCATTAGGTGTTTACAGCAAACAAAAAATTAATGCAGAGGAGTCCAAATTCCTGTGGACTTTGAAAGCATCCGTGGGCCATCAGCTCTCCACGGGATGGAGTCAGCAGTGGTGTTAACCAGTAACTCAAACCAGCTTGGAGAGCATCTGAATGAATGTAAAGTGGGTTTAAGGGAGAGGGGTGAGGAGGGGCTTGATGTTTGTTTTTATCAGGAGAAGTCAAATTGGGCTGGTGACTTCAGACATTTTTCCATAGCTCCTTCTGATGTATTCCCAGTGGGCGTTCTCACCATATTTTCTGTGTGAAAATATGCATGAGGGAAAGCCTTTTTCCTTCCTCAAGCCTGGCTGCAGCTCCAGGCTCTTCCCTGCCAACCTTCAAACGGAGCTGAGGAGCTGCTCCTGCAAAATGTCTCCTCAGCCGGAGATAATGGGAAGGGAAGGGGAACTCTTGTGCTGACAGTTCTTGTTCAGACATTTCCTCTTGTCTCCTGTGCCATTTGGAGGTTTTCCCAGGACATTCTTCATCTCTTCCTCTGGTTGTTTTTAATTCTGTTTACTGGGGCTGAAGGAGGCTAGAGACAATTAGTCACAATGCCCTGGAATCAAACTTTAATCAGCTCTGGAAGGCAAGAGCAAACATTCCCAAACATGTAGGAGCACACATCCAGGCACACGGACAAATCTGGGAGCTGACAGCAGCTGAGGATTTAGGCATTTAATTACTTGATTTTAAAACAAAAATTCTTCCCAAGGTAGAGTTTTCTTCACCATATAGCTTTTGGCAGCATTTGCTGATTTATTGTCTCTGAATGCAAAGCTTTTTTTTTTTTTCTTTGCCTTTTTTTTTTTTTTCCCTATGCCTTAACCTTGCAGGAAAAACTTGAATGTACCATTTTTCCATTAAAAATCTTGTATGTTTTCAAAACAAGATCATCCCTGACACAGAATCGTGGAATCACAAAATGGTTTGGGTTGGAGGGGACCTCAAAGCCCATCCAGTGCCACCCCTGCCATGGCAGGGACACCTCCCACTGTCCCAGGCTGCTCCAAGCCCTGTCCAGCCTGGCCTTGGGCACTGCCAGGGATCCAGGGGCAGCCACAGCTGCTCTGGGCACCCTGTGCCAGGGACAGGAATTCCTTCCCAATTCTGACTTATTCCATGAACTGTATGATACCTGGGTACACAATTCCTTATTGTCCCAGGCTACAACAGATCCTGAGGCCTGACCCATGGCCAGAACATGCTCTTGCCTACCCAGAGCTGGTGGCTGAAGGTAAATCTGCTTGTCTGGACACTCCCCAGCCTTTCTTTCCTCTTGCTGTGGATTTTTGAAGGGTTGTAATTGAACACCTCTGTGCAGCTGTTTCCCCCAGATGTTGCTGACACTTTCCCCTTCCTGAGGCAGCTCATCATGGAGCTTTAAAGTGGTTTCTTTCCTTGCAACACCTTTCACACAACTTCACACTGATGTGTAAAGGTGTTAAATCCACGTGATGTTTATTAGCTTGTTCCTGTTCCCCTCTCTCAGCCTTGTGTGTAGTAGAACAAATGTCCTGTCCACTGCTGAGGAAGAAAACCAATATATTTGTGGTCTGGGGGGAGGATGAACATGCAGCACTGCTAGGAAGGTGTGGAGGATACTAGACATTTCTGCTCCCAGCTGAAATGTGTGTTCTGTGTTCCAGAAAAGGTGAATAACTTCCCGCCGCTCCCCAAGTTCATCCCTCTGAAACCATGTTTCTACCAGAATTTTGCTGATGAAATCCCCATCGATTACCAGTTCCTGGTGAAGAGAATCTATCATGTGTGGATCTGTAAGTTCAGTAAAAAACACCTGTGCTGGAAAAAGGTATTTGTGTAGTAAAACTCCATAGATCTCAATGATTAATGTGCTTTAAAGTTTTGATGAGGAGCAACGATCCCCCTTAGAACACTCTAATATAACTTTATACCTGAATTTTAAGCTGCCGTGCCTTGAATCCTTGAGGGATCTTGAAGAAAGGAGGTTATCAGTGCTGGAAAAGTCTGATAGTAAATCTGAGGGAGAAAGCAGACCATGTTTGATACCTTTATTAATGTCAAATGGTCATAGAATTCCAGACTGGTTTGGGTGGGAAGGGACCTTAAAGCCCATCCAGTCTCACCTCTGCCATGGGCAGGAACACCTTCACTATCCCAGGCTGCTCCAAACCCCATCCAGCCTGGCCTTGGACTGTGCCAGGGCCTGCCCACCCTGCCAGGGAACAATTCCTGCCCAAGATCCCATCCAGCCCTGCCCTCTGGCAGTGGGAGCCATTCCCCCGTGTCCTGTCCCTCCAGGCCTTGTCCCAAATCCCTCTCCAGCCTTTTTTAAACCCTATTTAACTCCCCAAAAAAGCTACCTTAAGGAAATTCCCCATTCCCCTAAAGGAAGAGGAATAGGAGAATTTCAGACAAAATAAATGTGGCCCATTTGCTGCTACCTGGCTCCCCACATTGTTCTAGAAAGGCCAAAACTCCCTCTTATTCCCACATTTCCCTTCCCAATGGATGCACTATCTTCTAGCTGCATGCTGGCTCTTCTTTAACTCTCCAGAGCCCCCCAAACATCCTGCTGGAGTTGGGAACTGATGCTGTGACAGCTGGTGATGTGCTGATACTCTGTGTGAACAGAGCTCCTGGCCCTGGGCTCCTGTTGTTTGCCTCAGCCATTGAGGACCCAGGAATGAAAATTGACCATTCTCCTGCAAGGAATGAAATCGGTGTGGCAGGCCTAGGAAACCACAGGGAATGCTTTGCAAGATTAAGAATCTTTTTGCCTTGCTTATCTTTTTTTTCCCCCAAATGCTTGTCATCCTCTTTACCCTTCTCACTGAAGGAAAGCTTGTTTTCTGCCAGCTCTGCATTTGGTGGCGTGGCTTTTATTCCAGATGCACGGGATGTGTGTAGGAGAGAGATTTGTGTGCATAAATAATGGCATAATCCATGGCTCCATTGTTCTTTGGTTATGTGGAGCTGCTGCAATGAGCTCTGTAATTTTCTTGCCTGAAGAAGCTGCCTGTCCCTCCAGACTCACTGGTGCGATGTAGAAGCTGTAAAGCCGCCTTTGTCCTCCCCTCTCCCAAAACAAAGAGTCCCTCAGTCGAGTTAATGGCAGGCTGGAGGAGAGCCAGGGATTTGGGCATGGCCAGGAGAGCTGCCATCTGCACCAGGAGTTTCACATTTCCATCTCCTGCACTCAGGAGTTTCACATTTCCATCTGCAGTGCACTTCCTTTGGGGGTCTCCCTGATTTTTTGCCGTGGGTTGGAGAGAGATGTGTAAAGGGAAGAAGGTAAACAAGGAAAGGGCAGTTTTGAAAAGTAGAAACACACAAGTCGTTGCTGGAAGGGTGATTGCTCATTACTTTAATTGGATGTGAGCACTAGATTAAGGTGGAGGGAGGTTTGGGGAAGGTTGTACCAGAGCTCCCACTGCTGGAGAGCAAACTCCAGCCTGAGGCACAGGGAGAGCCAAAAGTTCCTTAGAACTCTGCAGATGCCCCTGGCTTGGTGTTGTTTTGTTGGGTATTTAAAAATAAGTAACTTTTGGAGAATAAATAGCTTCGGAAAATGAATATTTGGAGAAGTACAGCTAATTGGTGTGTAAATGAAATATCACAGATTCATGGAATCCCTGAATGGTTTGGGTTGGAATTACCTTAAAGCCCATCCAGTGCCACCCCCTGCCTTGGGCAGGGACACCTTCCACTATCCCAGGCTGTTCCAAGCCCTGTCCAGCCTGGCCTGGGACACTTCCAGGGATGGGGAATCTACAAACTGTTAGTTTAAATACATAGAATTAATTAATTTAAAGAACTAATATTCTTCCCCCCAGCATTAACACATCCAAACCATTGTGTACAAAGCTTTGTTGGCTACTCAGAATACATGTTTTTTGCAGTAAAACAATGTTTTATTTTACTCTCAGGCCACGTGTAAGCCAGAAGTAGCAGCTGGGTATAGGTTTTGTTCCCCTGACTGTGTTGTCAGTATGATTTTGTGACCATAAAACCTTGCAGTTGTTTAGGACCCCCAAGCTGTGTGAAGGCAGGTGGGTCAGTGCCCAGGAGGACCAAGGCAGTGATGAGTAGATGAGCTGCAGAGCCATGGCAGGGAGTGGAGTGGGGCATGGGCAGGGTTCCCTTGGCACAGGTAAAGAGAAATTCAGGGTTTAATTTTGCCTGAATAACTGAGGCCAAGGTCCAGGGTGTCACCATGAGTTTATCACCAGGCTGTGCTGGAGGGCCTTTGGTGTTTGGACCTTCCACCTTCTCCTTTCTCTGTGCTTGTTGATACAGGTTACCACAAAGGGTTTGAAGAGTCACCAGCAGTTTTCCAAAACAGGAGCTTGTAAATTGGCCTCTTTGAGCCTGGCAGTGCCTGGGTGGATGCAGGGACAGCTGTGGGGAGCCCCTGGCTTGGGGCTGAACCCCCTTTCCAGGGGTGTGGGCTCCAGGAAAATGGGGAGCAGCAGCCCTTCATATAGTACTACTTAGTGCAGCACTGCTGTGCCCTGGGGGCCTTTGTCAACTGTTCCTTTTTATCCAAGTGACAGGAACAGGGATGTGAAAAGGCCTCTAAGCCACCCCTGTGGTCCCATATTCTCAGCTTGATTGGAGTTTGTTTATCCCCTTGCTCAAGGCAGCACTGCCAAGGCCCCAGGCTGATATCCAGGCTTCCTCAGAGGCCCAGGGAAGCAGAGAGAGAGCCTGCAAGGCACTGAGCTGGCACAGAGATGGCTCCTGAGGCAGCCCCAGACAGCACAGTCAGTCGGAGGCAGGGGCAGGGCTAGGGTCACCCCCTCTCCTCTCACAATGGGGTTTTACTATAAATGGAAATTAGACCTTGCTCATAATTCATAATAACACTGGCCTGAGTCTTCTATTGGTCACATCAGTTGCTACCTAAGCTCTCCATGCTTTGACAGGTCATAAAAGAGTTCCCTCATCCCTGTGCTGCAGGATCCCTCTGGAGCTGGATGTTCCTGTGCTCCCAGCTCCAGGTCACACAGGAGCCTGTGCCTCACTCAGAGCAGCTGCACTGCTGCCCCAGGGGCCCTTCCCACTGTAACCCTGGGGGCTTCACAGAGTCCTGAGGTGTCCTGAGTTAGCAGGGATCCACAGGGACCATCAGTCCAGCTCCTGGTATTAACCAGGAGACCCCAACAAGCCCACCCTGAGCACCCCTGGCAGCGCTGTCCAAACGCTCCTGCAGCTCTGGCAGCCTTGGGGCCGGGACCATTCCCTGGGCAGCCTGGGCAGTGCCAGCACCCTCGGGGGCAAGAACCTTTCCCTGAGCTCCATCCCAACCCTCTCACACAGCCCCAGCCATTACCTTTTGTTTCCTTTTCTCCCGAAGTCCTGGAAGTGCCCCACCCCACGTTCTCTCCTGTGCCCTCTCCCCAGTTTACTGCATCACGCTGGCCGTGAACCTCATCGCCTGCCTGGCCTGGTGGATCGGGGGAGGCTACGGGGCCAACTTCGGCCTGGCCATCCTCTGGCTGATCCTCTTCAGCCCCTGTGGCTACGTCTGCTGGTTCCGACCTGCCTACAAAGCCTTTCGGTGAGTGCCAGCCCAGGAGGTGCTTCTGGTGCAGTTCCCTTGGAAGTTTCCTCAGTTGTTGCTGGGGAGTGCTGCTGGGGGAGGTCTCTCTGGCTGGGATGAAGTACACAATGTCTTGTTTACTTTCAAAATGAAGAAGAATGTGGCTACTTCTAAATGCTAGATATAGGACTGACGGTCACATAAGATTGGAGGTGAGCAGTTTGACACTTCTGAGAGAGTTAAATTCGTATTTTACTTAAATATCTCAAACTTAGCAACACCCTCATCTCAGTGCAGCATTAAAATAGGTACTAATTTGGTAAAGCTTCATTGAGGCTTATTTTAATGGAAGACTATTATTAGTTTTTGAGAACTCTTCTGATTCCTGTCTCCAGCTACATGAGAGCTTGTCTGCTTAGCTTTTTAGATAAAAGCAGTTCCCTGGAGTCAGGCCTTCTGAAACTCCACAAATATTTAAAGCCATCCTACATTTTTCCTTTAATTAATAATCATTTGCATTTGCTGTGGACCATGAGGCATCACTCAAACATTAATGTATAAAGCCTGGCAGAGCTAGGAGGGTCCTGAGCAGTTCCCAGCCTGACACAGGGAAAGGAGGGGCCTGCCCAGTGCCACCATCACACCCCACACACCAGTCAGGGGTTTGCCCTCTGGAGGTGAAGCTGTTCCTGGTAGGATACTCTGGATTTTGATTATTCACCAGACTCTGTGATGAGCTGGTTTGGACAACAGCAAAAGCAGCTGATGGAAATGGGAGGTGACAGGTGGGTCCTGTCTAACCCATGATAAATTAATTGTTTAAATGCGCTTCTGAGCTGATGCTTTGTGTGCCCACAGCACTGGGCACTGGATGCTGTTAAATCACCAGTGGCATCATGGAGTACAGGGGAGGGTCATTTCTGCTGAAAAGGGAAGGGTTGGATTTGTCTCAAAGTTCCAAATGATGTGAAAATCCCAGCTCTGAACTCTTGCCCTGTGGGGCTGGAGTTTGTCCCCATCCTGAGCTCAGAAGCCCCAGGGCCTCCAAGTCCTGGAGCTCTGTTCAAAGAGGAATTTCCATTCTACAGTCTGGGAAAAATTACTCCTCCCTGCTGACCTCCCCCGGGCTCCACAAGGGCCGTTTCTCATTATTCCTTGAACGTTGTTTGGATGTGTTTATGCAATGAATGCTGAGAGGTCCCTGAGGTTACTCTGTGCAGGGACTTGCAGTTAAAAAAAGACTCAACCCCAGGGACAGAGTGGGGAGCACAGGGATCATCCCCTGGGACAGCAGTTGGGCTGCAAATCACTGTGGAGGGGCAGCACTGTTGGGATAACAAGTGGTGATTGCAGAGGCAAAATCAGCCCTGCTTGTCCTGGAGGAGGCCACCCTTCAGTGCTGGCACCCTGTCCTGTGACACGGTGACATCCTGTGAGGATGCTTCTCTAAAACCTTTGTCATCCCACTGTATCCCAAATTAAATTAGCTGCAGAGCTTTGGTGCTAGGGCAAAGCTGTAGCAAATCTGCACCAGAAAGCTGGATGAGAAATCACCTTTTCTCTGTATCCCCACTAATTCCTGCAGATCCTTTCAAATGAAGACTCCTTCAGCCCCTTCAGGTTGGAGTTGCAAGAGTCTGTTTGAAGGCTCAGCCTCGAGCCTAATCCTTGTTAATTGGATTCTGACAGGCACCACTGTCAGCAGGCCTTGCCTAAAGTATTTCTTTCTCAATGCTGTACTCTGAGGTGGTACTTGAAGGGTGGGATTGTGAGGATACTCAAGGATAATAAATCTTCAAGAGCCACCATCTGTGACAGACACCCAGACCAACACAGGCAGCGCTGAGGAGCGTGGGTGTGACTGGAGGCTTCTCAACGTGCCTCACCTTCTTCATCTCCTCCCAAGGCATCAGGGGCTAGAATTATAAAATTAACAACCATCAGCATAATAAAAATAATTAAAATAATAAGCATTTAAATACTTTCAGGGTTTAAGCAGGAGCTGGCAGTGATTGGAGCTCTTTTAACTCCCCTTTGCACCAAACTGCCTCACAAGCATCTTTTTTGTAGGTCTGTAGAGAAATCATTGGCCCTTTGAGTTCCTTAGAGTTATGGGAATCATTTGTATCATTAAAAATGATAGTTTGAGGAACTTAAGATGTGGCTGGTTTGATGGGATGAAGATGTGTTATGACAGAGCCCAGACTTGGGCAGGGCAGTGCTGGGCCCCCAGTGCACCCATGACAGAGACTGTGAATGTGTCTGGTCAACATCTTGCTTGGGGTCATTTTCATGCTAATTATGAATTATGAATAATTATTGTACCTGTGTAAACTCAAGGACCTCACCTGTACATCCTGATGATGGGGAGCCTGCAGAGATGGGAAGTGTGCCTCTGCTTTCAGGGTACCACCCACCTCTCTCATGGCTGTTTTCCCTGCTGTGATGTCCCAGTTGTCCCAGTGCTGGATTATTTACCATGGGTGTGGGAACATGATGACAAGCAGACACTGAAACATTCCCAGCTGGAATTCTTGTGCTCAGTGATCCTTTCTAGTGTATAGACAAGCTCTGCCTGCCAGCATCAGGCCCTTGTGTGCCTCCTTGCCAGAGCAGAGCTGGGCAGGTGTCAGGCTGGGCTGATATTCGGTCAGAGAATGACTCAGACTCTCTGTGTAGGAGACTTGTGTCCCTCAGCCTCTCCTTGTGTGTCATCATAGGTGCAATTCCTCAGGGAGGGCAACTGCAAGAGCCAGGTTATTGGGAGACAATCTGTGCTGCTGAGTCATGGAGCTGTGTGCTCTCACTGCCAGGGAAGGGGGAGAAGCCTCCCAGCACACAGCCATGGAGGGAACCCTCTGGAGTCACCACTGTAGAGGGTTTGAATGTGATGGTGGGGTCAGACATGGGTGTGGAGCAGCACAAGGTGCCAATGCCCCCCTGACCTCCTTTCTTCCTCCGCAGGTCGGACAGTTCCTTTAATTTCATGGCCTTTTTCTTCATCTTTGGGGCGCAGTTCCTCCTCACGGTGCTGCAGGCGATCGGCATCTCCGGGTGGGGAGCGTGGTAAGTGGGAATGTCCCAGCAGGCCCAGGAGCTCTGGGCTGTGGCTGCTTCCATGGGCTTGGAGAGACTGATGGGAGCCTGTACCAGGTGCAGAGGAGGAAGCTTTCTGATTTCCCCAGTGGCATAGCTGTATCTGCTCTTGGGGTGCGCAGTTCGGGTTTCATTGCTGTGTTGGGCAGAAATCAAGGCCAAGTTGGATGGGACTTAGAGCAGCTTGGTCTAGTGGAAGGTGTCCCTGCCCATGTGGTCTGGCTGGGTTTTAAGGTCCCTTCCAACCCAGATAATTCTGTGATCTTCACCTGGTTGCTCTTTGTAGCCTCTTCCCTCAGTCCATTTCTTTTACGGTGTAGCAGCCCGTGTCAGGCTCAGCATTGCCCTCAGTGCTGGCAGCACACGGTGAGCTGAGTGTGGTGACTCATTGCTGGCCTATGAGAAGTACTGTGAGAGTTCTAAAATAAATGGGAGCTTGTTAGTGTCTGTCCCTGGTTGTGTTATAATTGTTTGGCATTTTAACTTCCTGTCTATAGAGACTTGAGAGCAATTCCTGCTGAAACTACAAGTAATGGAAAGTCTTAGCACTCCATTTAATGCTCTGGTTTCAGAATTGCTGATGCCTCACCTGGTTTTTGCCAGAAAAGGAATGGAGATGGAGTGTAAAAGACAGGACTCTGGTGTTCCCTGATCCCAGTTCTGGTCTCTAGATGCACAACAAAAGCACCTTGAGAATATGTCTTCTACTCCCAAAATCCATGCAGCTGGCTGTCCCTTAAAGCTCTCAGACTGGATTAGTGAGGGATGCTGACAAGTGAGAGTTGAGATCTTGGGGAAATACCTGCATTGAATTCTGTCAATTGTTTTCATTGTTCCTTTCATTTTCAAGAGCTTAAAAGCTGCCTTGTAATTTCTGGGTTACGAATCACAGAAACAGAATGCTTTGGGTTGAAAAGGACCTTAAATCCCATCCCATTCCACCCCTGCCATGGCAGGGACACCTTCCACTGTCCCAGGGTGCTCCAAGCCCCGTCCAGCCTGACCTTGGACACTTCCAGAGATCCAGGGGCAGCCACAGCTGCTCTGGGCAACCCCTGTCAGGGCCTTATAAGCACATAAACAGTTTGTCTGATAACATGGACACTTTGAAAAGCAGATTATAATGCTATTGTGTCTCTTTTTCTGTTTCTTCCAGTGGATGGTTGGCAGCCATCACCTTCTTCAGCACCAGCGTGGCAGCTGCTGTGTTCATGCTGTTCCCTGCCATCATGTTCACGATGTCAGCAGTTGCAATGCTCATCTGCATCATAAGGGTAGGTTCTGCTAGTGGAAGATGTCCCTGCCCATGGCAGGGGAGCACAATGAGATGGGTTTTAAGGTTCCTTCCAGCCCAAGCCATTCTGAGATTTTGGGATTCTTCAGATCTCTCTGTGCCTTGGAGAATCCCTGCTGTGTATCACAGTAATGTGAAGAGGCAGCTCAGCAGCCACCACAAGCCATCACTGCTTTGAAAGGTTGCACAGTGCAGTCAGTTGATGTCTCTCAGAGTTTCTGGAGGACAAATCTAGACAGCACAAGACAGCTCAGGCTGGAAATTGTCACGGTGTCATGTGGTGATGTTGCTTTGTGTCATGCAAAGCAAGCTTCATGTGGAGGAACCTGAGGCTCTGTGAAGGGGAGAGGTTTGGATTGGATATTAGGAAACATTTATTTTCACAGAAAGGATTGTAAAATGTTGGAAGGCTGCCCAGGGTGGTGGTGGAATCATCATCCCTGGGAGTGTTCAGAAAATGTGTGGATGTAGCCCCTGGGGACATGGGTTAGTGGTGACCATGGTGGTGGAGCTGGGCTGATGGTTGGACTTGGTGGTCTTGGAGGTCTTTTCCAGCCTCAGCAATCCTGTGATTCCATGATTTGTTGCTCCTTGGGATGGTCAGTGGTGAAGCATCTGCAGTGGGGACCAGGTGGCAGGGTGGGAACTGGGTCTCTGCAGGAGCAAGGATTTGTAGTAGGACTCTCTGGAAAGCTTTGGCAGGCAGGGAAAATGTCAGAACCCAAGACGTCCCTCTGGATGCCCTGGATAGCTCAAAATCCTGGCAGGGGCTCAGAGATCCTGGCAGGAAGCCAGAGACACTTGGGAATTTGATCTCAACCCATGGAGCAAATTACCAACGTTATATGATGAATTACAAGTCACAAAAGTTTAAGTAACATAACAGTAGTTGTCACAGGGTGAAAGGTGAAATTTTGAAGAATTTGACTATGGGGGTCTAAGGGACAAAATGGAAGAATTTAGGCGTTGTCCTCTCCTTCTTCCTTGTTCTTCCTGGCCTCCATCTTCTTGGTGATGGTGGCACTTTGGGACTGGTGTAGAGTAAAAAGTCACTGTCTAACATAAGTGATAAGTATTAGAACATAACTGTAAATATCAAATACAAAGTTTATAGTATAAAAGACAACACCAGCCCCGTGGGAGGGCAGTGTGCCTCAGACTGACCTGCAAAACAGACCTCAGCAAGCCAGACAGAAAATGTGTTAGATAAGAAATAATAAACAACCTCGAGAACAACAGCTGAAGACTTCTGACTTCTTCTTCGACAGCTGGGTTGGGGAAAAGAGACTTTTTAACACTCCTTGGGATCACCTTGACCAAAGGGGATCCCGAGAGGAAAACAGAAGCTCTGTGGCAGCAGTGGTGTTGGACTCTGTGTTGGAGAGGTTTCAACCCCCTGGCCTGGGCTGGCTGCCTTGCTGTGGGATCCCCCACCTGAATGGTGGGAATGTGTTCAAGTTTTGGGTTGATTTTCTCTGTCTGCACCTCTGTTCCCTGCATTACTTTATTTCTTGTGCTTTGTTCCTCAAAAATGCAGCTCTTCATAGAGACAGGAACAAATCCTGTTGCCAAGTGGCTCTGCAGGGGCTCAGCTCTGGGCTCCTGGTGCTGACACTCCTCTTGTCCTCCCTTTTATCCCTTAGGTACATAAAATCTACCGAGGGGCTGGTGGAAGCTTCCAGAAGGCTCAAGATGAGTGGAACAGCGGCGCATGGAGGAACCCTCCCAGCAGGGAGGCCCAGTACAGCAATTTTTCTGGGAACAGCCTGCCAGAGTATCCCACAGTGCCCAACTACCCCTCTGCAAACCAATGGCCTTAAGCAGCAACAGCTGCAAACTGCCTGGAGTCTCTCCTTTTTGGTCTTTTTATTCTTGTTCTTGGAAAAGATCATTTGCATTCCCTCCCAAGCACCCCACTCATCTCGAGGACCTTTCTGGTTCTTGTCTCCTGATCCCTGAGGAATATCCGTGCTCTCAGCCCTTCCCACCTCCACTGCACTGCACGGCCATGGCAGAAAGCTTTTTGTTTGCCTTGAGTCACCAGTATTTGCCTCGTTGCAGACTAAGAACAAACCCTTCGCTGCCCTTGCTTGAGGGAATCCTCTCCTGACCATCCCTGGAAAAGGCTCAGCTTCCCCACGATGGCAGCACTCCCACAGCTGCTCCTGCCCCTGCTCCTGCTCAGCTTCCATGGAATGCCCAGCACAGCATCACGCCATCTGTAGCAAAAGCAATCAGAGCATTAGTAGCAACTGGTGTTTACTCTCCTGGATGAATAATGTGGAATTTTTCACTCTAAGGGAAATGCAGCACTTAAATTATTTGGTACTAGTGACACTGAAGTGTTTTGTGAAAGCTCCACCCTCCGTGGGAGGATCCCTGCAGGTAACAGAGGTGCCCTGGGTGAGTCCTCGGATGGGAAGTCCCCACAATCCTCCTTTGCCTGCTCAGACTGTTGTGATGCTACAGCTCTTGCTTTCCCTGCTGCCAAAACCTCTTGCTGGATCTGTGTGTTCCAAAGGTACAGATTCATCTCCTTAGGTTCATGATTTCTCTGTAAAGCCTGAATCAAAACCCAGTGGAAACCAGTGCAGAGCTGACACTGGGCCTTGGTGATGTTCACCCTGGTACAGGGACTCAGCACGAGATTTCCCCACCATGTAACTTCCAGCCAGGTTTTGTGCTGGATGCAAGATAATGATTGATCTCACTGCTGGAGCCCCAGTGTGGTTTGGAAATGCTTCTGTTACAATGAATAGTTTAATTCTGCCTTCTGGTGTAGCTGAACTCCAGATGTTACAGTGGGATCTGGGAGATCAAGGGAAGTTTGTTGGTCCTCATGGCTGCTGTTGGCTCTGTAGTTGGCAGGACTTCCATGGGAGAGAGATTCCTGCCTTTCTCCAATGATCAGCTGAAGGGAGGATGAAGCTGTTGGGAGGGATTGTTTTCCCTGAAATTATCCTCCACCTTGTCATTCATCTCCATTCTGTGCCTGAGCCATCCAATTCCCTGTGTCCTACAGCGATCCAGGCAGCAAAAGCTGCGGTTTCCTCTTCCCCCTCAGCCTGCTGTGAATTTTTTAAAACCTGTCCAAACTGGGAGGTCAGTTCCCAATTTTTTTATAGGGAGTGAGTGTTTCAAGTCTGTGGCTTTCAAAGTTTTGGCCAATGATCCAGAGTGCTCCATTTGGGAGATCTAGGAGGGGTTGGGCACCCTGGGGATCAGACCTGGAGCCTGCTGCCTTGGCAGGCTGTTGATGGGGTTATTCCAAATTCCTAAATTCACACTGAGCAACTGGAAAACACAACTGGCTCCTAGAAAGGGACAGGGACATGGTCCTAGCTAGGTGGAATTGATTTGCAAGTGGTCTTTTGAAATTTTTTCTCTACATGTGCCTTATCTAATGAAATCATAGTACACAGAGGAGAGCTCCCGCTTCCCCCTCACCCCTGCAGAATTCCCTGTTTCCCTGTTAACTCGTCCTGTGTCACACTGTAAATAATGAGGGAAGCACAGTCTGGAATCTGCAAGACCCCTGTGTTACCAGGGCCAAAGCAAAAGCAACCCCAGATTTCCCCAAATTTCCGTTTACAGCCACACTGACCCCTGCTGCAGGAGCAGCCCTCCACTGGCTCTGGGATGTGGAATGTGCTCCCAGCACCAGGGGTTTTTCCTGGAGAGTGTGCAATGTGCTTGGGAGGACGAGCTCTTGGAGCCTTCTTAACAGAACATGACCTGATGGCATTGTGAAGCTTTTAGGTGCCTTTGTCTAGTGTCAAATGTAATTTTAAATGTTCTTTGTCGCTTGCCATCGGAGTGATGAAAGAACTGCCTGGCGTTGACTCCCTGGAAATACGATGGATGCACCACAGGGTGAGGGCTGAAGGTGGGATTGGCCACACCTGGGAGCCAGGACATGGTGCACCTGTGTCCCTCAGTCCTGCCCCTTGCCATCCTCTTGCCAAAATTCTTCAAAACCATTTGATACCTGCCCGATTTCAGTGTGTCAAGTTGGAGGTTTTGAAGGAACCAAGAGGAGAAGCGTTGCTGGGGGCTCCACATCCTACTTCTCTTTGGGATTTTCCCCTTGGAGAATCTGGGGGCTGTGTTGAAGCACCCACCCTCAGTCACACTGGAAATGTTTGATGCAAGGAGAGGGGGTGCCTGGGAGCCTGCCCACCGGAATGGTTGGAGCTGGACACCGAAATCAGACCCTGTTAGCCTGCACTGCCTGAGATCCCTGTGGAGATCAATGCACCTCCAGGTGGGAGCTCCATCCCATCCCCTCCCTCCTCTTCAATGCCAGAAACCGTAATTCCAGAAAGTCCAACACGCTGCCTGAACAAATGGCTTAATTTTTTTCTTTTTTTTTTTTGGACTCCTCTAGATGTTTTTAAATGTTTACATTAGATTTCTAAAAGTTCTTAACACCATTAACCCAGCCCTGGCTCCTGGTGTGGTTGGGCGTCACGTGGCGTGTCTGTGTGTGATGTTTCGTGTCACCTGTGGAGCTCTGGGTTTTGTTTGTGTTTTTCTCCTGATCACAAGACAATAAATGCTCATCCTGTGCTTGATGAGGAGAACTGGCCGCATCAGAGAAGTGTCTGTTCCTAGGTAACCGGAGTTATCTGGCAGAGGGAAATGGCAAAATCTCTACGTTCCTCCAAAGTCTCCCACTGCATGTTGTTTTCTCTGTGAAAGAACAGCACATTGATGGATGAGGCTCATCCTCTGTGCTGGGGACTGGTGTGAGTGGCTTGTGGTTTGTGCTCTCAGAGATGCAGCTTTGACCAAAGGTGCTGCCATTGTTCCCATCTGCTAACAATGGGACTGGGAGAGCAGAGGTGTGGAGAAAGTCCCATCTCCCAAGCACTGGGGTCATTTTTGTGGCCTTTCCATAGTGCAGAGAGCCCCTGGCAGTGCTGGTGTCTGCTTTCCCCAGTTATTGCCTGAAAGGATACTCTTACCCCTGGAGTAAATAGGCTTGGACAGCAAAGGTGACTTGAATCCCTTTAGCACAGCTGAATTTATTGCCCAAAATGTTCTTCAAAAACTATCACAGAATCCCAGAATATTTGAGTTGGAAGGGACCTCAAAGCCCACCCAGTGCCACCCCTGCCATGGCAGGGACACTTTCCACTGTGCCAGGCTGCTCCCAGCCCTGTCCAGCCTGGCCTTGGGCACTGCCAGGGATCCAGGGGCAGCCACAGCTGCTCTGGGCACCCTGTGCCAGGGCCTGCCCACCCTGCCAGGGAACAATTCCTGCCCAAGATCCCATCCAGCCCTGCCCTCTGGCAGTGGCAGCCATTCCCTGTGTCCTGTCCCTCCAGGCCTTGTCCCCAGTCCCTCTGCAGCTCTCCTGGAGCCCCTTCAGGCCCTGCAAGGGGCTCTGAGCTCTCCCTGGAGCCTTCTCTTGTCCAGGTGAGCACCCCCAGCTCTGCCAGCCTGGCTCCAGAGCAGAGGGGCTCCAGCCCTGACAGCATCTCCGTGGCCTCCTCTGGACTCATTCCCACACCCCCAGCTCTGCCAGCCTGGCTCCAGAGCAGAGGGGCTCCAGCCCTGGCAGCATCTCCATGGCCTCCTCTGGACTCATTCCCTCAGGTCCATGCCCTTCCTGTGTGGGGGCTCTAGAGCTGGACACAACACTCCAGGTGGGAGTATGGAAATCACCATATTGTGGTTTCATACCCCAGTTCCACTCCATGGCAGATATTTAATCCTAGAAGAGCCATTTCCCTCACAGCTGTTGATGTGACATCTGCTGATCCCAGTGTCTTCCCTGTCTCCAAAGCCCTGTGCCAGGCTCCCCCTGCCTGGCCCTCACCATCCTTCTCTCTCTGACAGTGGTTCCCTACAGCTGCTGCTGATGTGTTGAGCATGAGGATGAATTGGATTTCCCTCAAATTCTTGCTCCAGGGCCTCAAAATCTGAGCATGAGGCACATTTTAAGCTCCTGCTCTAGCTGTTGCTCGAGCAGGACCTTGGCACTTGGAATGAGGGGATTTTTGCCTCTACTGCAGGAGGGCTGGGCAGGGTTTGTCAGGAATGGGGGTGCTTGTACAGCCAAGCTCAGCCCACCACCCTGAGGAGCTCCCAAAAAAGCTCCGGATTGCTGGCATCAGGGTGTGAGGGGCACTGTGAGTGCCTGGCTTTTCCTTTCTCTGGTTTTTGCTGTGTTTCTGTCACTGCAGTTCCAGCTGGGAAGGTGCTGCCACCCACCCTGGAGCAGCTCATTCCTCGTTCCTCATGCAGTCACAGTGGTCCCTTTGTGTTGTCTGCTTGTGAATGAGCCCAAACTGTCTGGTGCCCACAGGAGAGGGCCAGGGCTCCTGGCTGGATGATTCCCAACAGAAATTCCCTGGATTTTCTTGCTCCCCGTGCTGGTTCCGTGGCATGAGCTGCTCGTGTCTCTGCAGGCCTTTGGCACACCGTGTGCTCACTGCTGGAGATCTGCCTTGAAATAAAATCCAAACTCCTTTCTTCCCCACTCTCCTGCTCCAGAGGGTGGTTCAATTCTCCAGCCAAACGCCTGAACAACTTGTTAGTTCTCAAAGCGTATGAAATCACCACAGAATTGCAGAGTTGGGGGGTGGGATGGGGCAGACAGGAAAGGGAGGGTTCCAGGGGGATTTTATCCTCTCCAGGAGTGATTTTATCTTCCTCAGGGGTGATTTTATCCTCTCAAGGGGTGATTTTATTCTCCCAGGGGGGTGATTTTATCCTCTCCAGGGGCAGGACATTTCCAGGGGGATTTTATCCTCTCCAGGAGTGATTTTATCTTCCTCAGGGGTGATTTTATCCTCTCAAGGGGTGATTTTATCCTCTTAAGGGGTGATTTTGTCCTCTCCAGGGGCAGGACGTGTCACAGCACCTCAGCACCTTCCTGAGCCAGGCCACAACACAGGAACAGGATGGGAACAGCTGGAATTCACACGTTCAGAATTTTCCTGATGCTCTAAAATCAGCTTTTTTTGGAGGAGCAAACACCCACAGGGAAAAGTCCTCCAGCCAAACGTTGTGGGGAGAGCTTTTCCCTGGAACATTTCTGTGACAGGAGAAGAACCAACTCAAGCAGTTGGAAATGCTGAAATGGGTACTTGGGCTGATGCTGATTGTCCCCCAAACCCACACAAATTCACAGTATTGCCTGAAAATACTTTTGGGGTGTATCTGCTCCATGCTGTGGTGAAGATGTGACCAGCAGGGTTGTGCAGGGGTGTCCCCTCCCTCCAGCCTTACCCTGACAGCCTCAAACTTGGTGAGAAGGAAATGATCCTCTGGCTGTGCCCTCCGCTGAGGGGGTTCTGGGATGGAGTGTTGTCCCCAGGTGAGCCATCAGGAGAAAATGAAAGGCTTCAGGAGGTGGCAGTGGGGTCTGTGTCCCTGCTCAGCACACCTCACAGCAGGTGATGTCAAAAAAAAAAATCTCGAAATTAAGCAAATCTCCAATTAGCAAACCAAAACCACAAAAAATTAGTATTTCTGCCCCGTAAAAACTAAAACCTCCACACTGTCCCAGCAGATCCCACAGTCCTGGAGCTCTGTTCCCTGCAAGGCAGTGCCTCTGTTTCCCTCAGAGTGGCTTTGCTCGGGGATGATGTCCCCAAAAAGGTGACAATGCCTGCAAAATCCCACCCTGGCCTCCCTCTGTCCCCACTGGTGGGGTGCCACAGCTGTGCCCCCTCTGCAGCCCCCAGTCCCTGTCCCGAGGCTGCCCCAGAGGGCCTGGAGTGTGGATGGATGTGGGGATGAGGGAACTGTCCCCAAAGAGGGGCTGTACCCAAACACGGGGGCTGCACCCCAAAACAGGGCTGTGCCCCAAAACAGGGCTGTGCCTCAAAAGAGGAACTGTACCCCAAAACAAGGCTGTGCCCCAAAACAGGGCTGTACCCCAAAACAGGGCTGTGCCCCAAAACAAGGCTGTACCCCGGTGCGGGGCTCACTCACACATTAGGGCCTGTCCCCTATAACTGGGTCCATACCCCCCATGCCGTTCCCTGCAACAGGCCCGTGCCCCACCCGGAGGCCGGTGGCATCCATATCGCGACAGCAGCGCGATAACCCACACCGGAGCCACATCCATCAGTGGGGTCGGACCCTACAGCACGCCCTAGAGCGCGGTGTGCTCCCTGTGTGCGAGCCGCTCCCTCCAGCCCGCAGGGCGCTGAGGCAGCGCGGGCCCTGTCGCGATAGCGGCGCCTGTCCCGACAGCGGCGCCAGGCAGCGCGGGGTTAACCGGAGCTGCCGTAAAGCGCGCGGCGCTGCCGCAAAGCCGCGCCGCCGCCTGCCGGCCGCTATTCCCGAACGCGCCCTACGCCAGCGCCGCTGCGCCGCCACCTCGCGCCCGCTGCGCTTGCGCCGCGCTCCGCCCCGCGGCCCGTATTCACGAACCGCGGTTGCGCCGCTGGCGCGCGGGCGCGCGGCGCCGCGGGCGGGGGCGGCGGGGCCGGGGCGGTGGCGGGGGGGGTTGAGCGCCGGGAGGGGCCCGGAGAGAGGAAGGGGCTGTGAGGGTCGCGGGGGTGCCGGGAGAGGCCCCCGCTTGGTCTGGGGAGGTCGCCGGGTGGTGGGGCTGAGGGGGTTCGGTCTGGGCCGGGGGAGAGTGGGGGGCTGTGGGGGTCACGCTGGGATTGGGGCCTGGGGGCGGCTTTGGGGTCGCGCTGGGGTCAGGCCGGGCCGGGGTGTGAGGGCCCAGGGCCGCCTCGCCCCGTCCCCTCCCGGCCGTGCCTGTTTTGTGGCCCCGGGGAAGGGGTGCGAGCCCCCCGGTGCCCCGAGGCCGGGCGGGCGGTGGGGATGGGGTCGGATGGTCCCCGCCGTGTCCCTCGGCCCGCACCCTGCCCGCCCTGCCCCAGCCTCGCAGGATGTTGGCTCCTTTGTATGTGGCTTTCCTCCCTCCAGAGGGGTTGGGAAGTGTTTATTTGGGGAAAGGACCGTGCTGAACCTGGTATTTAAAACGGCTTTTTTTCCTTCAGCGAAGCGGGTGAGGATGAATGTGAGAAAAGGGAAAAGTGCCCTCCCCCTCCTGCCCCCAGCAGACAGGAGCCGACTTGAGCTGTTCTGAGGTTTGCAAATGAGGAGCGGCTCTGCCGGGGAGGCCCGTGGCTCCTGTCGCTGGCTGGCAGGAGGGAGCTGGGTCTGCATCTCAGGGAGCAAACAACGGGAAGTTGTGGGGATCGTCAGGAAGGTGCCTTTCCTTTTGTGTGCCGGGCAACACGAAGACTTGCCGTGTTTGATGTATTTTAAAGTTAAAAAGCAAAGTTTCACAAACGCCTTTTGAGTTACCATGATATCAGTCTGTTCCAAACAGTTCAAGTTAGCCTGGACCTGGGTTGAAAGGTTTGTAAAACCTTTGGAAGTTAAGTTGCCTCCTTAACTGATCTATTTGTTTTCCTTCCACACAACAAGTGGTTGGAGGTGTGGAAGTGCATTCTGAGGGGTTGTGAGTTCACCTGCCAGCCAGGCTGCCCTGTCAGGCTGCCACACACAGTGTGCCCCCATCTCCCCACGGCCAGCACACAGGTTTAAAAATTGGGCCTTATGTAACAGATTGGAGCAAACGTTTGGTGTTTGCCAGTGGTCTGACAAAGAATT